AAGAAAAAATAACTAAACGCAAGTGACGCACCGGGGAAACTTTGATGAACAATTATTTGGTTAAAGAAAGAACATTTTACCGTGTGAATGAACGATTTGCGTCAAATATAACCGGAGATATAATTTTTTTGGCAAGGTCTTCGGGGCATGTAATAAAACCTGAAACAATGAAACGACTGAAACGAAACCACTGAAACGAGCGAAACGAAACCACCAAAACAAGCGAAACGACCGAAACGAGTAAAATAGTAAGTAAATAACCAAAAAAGTTAAAACAAAAAAGTCTTGAGCTCTAGTGCATTACTATGGCAGCCGGATCTCGTACCCAGATCCTGCTCTTAAGCCACATGTGTGACATTGTGACATCACAAACCTGAAAGGTGGATGAGCGCAAGCGTGTCGAGCAGGAAGATATTGAGAAAATGGTGGGTATTTTCACATTCTGAATGGTATTCTAACTAAAACAAGAAATCTAATTTCAAAGAAAGGTTTTCTGGTCGTATCGTGGATTCTTAGACGGTGGCGAATCGAATGGTCTTTTCGAGAATGACTTTGCAGCATTCATCGTGCGTACCAGGACTTTCTTTAATATATATCTCTAAAGATAAACGAGGGCGACTTCACAGGCTTTAATCATATTACCATCAGGCCTTCATGACTCCCGCAGTTCTCAAAGTAATTTCTTATTAGGCGCTCAGCTCTTCACGGATACTCTTGAGATTGTGTTTCCATACATCCTGGGTTTGGTGTTGTCGATTCGCCACCTCCTAAGAATCCACGATACGACCAGGAAACCTTTCTTTGAAATTACCTTCCTTGTTTTAGCTAATATTCCATTCAAAATGTGAAAAATATTCACCTTTTTCTCGATGTCTTTGTGGTCGTCATCGACACCCTTGCGCTCATCCATCTTTCAGGTTTGAGATGTAACAATGTCACACATGTGAATCTGGGTACGAGATCAGGCTGCCATAGTAATGTGCCAGATATCAAGGCTAGTTTTTAACTTTTTCATTTATTTACTTGTTATTTAACTCGTTTTGGTTGTTTTGCTCATTTCAGTGGTTTCGTTTCGCTTATTTCGGTGGTTTTGTTTCGTTGTTTCGGGTTTTAGTACATGCCATTCAGACAAAGATTTCACAAATGACTTGCCGACACGTGCCAAAACACAGCTCTTTACTTGTAAAAACATTAAGTTCACGTGTTAAAATAGGGAGTTCAAGCGACTGTTTCAATTTTCTTCCCATTTTTGGTAGCTTAAGATCAAGCAAGNGCTTAAGATCAAGCAAGTGTTAATAAACGGTAGTTTGTCGGTGAATTTGCGAAGTGAATCGAAAACTCGAAATATGATAGCTTTCATTGATCGGCAGGATGTTTTAACAACATGCAAATTTCGCTTTGAAGCCTTTTTCATTCCCAGAAATGTAATGTCCTTTGTTTCACAAACACTGCTTCACACAAAGAAACTTGTGGGAATGCATAACAAAGAGACATATACGCGCGTATATACGCGCATATGTGCACGTATTAACATACGCGTATACACAAAATATACTTGTATAATACGCGCATGCATAGTTCGCATATATCTGAGCTGCACTGTACGCTTGTGTGTTTCTAGACATTGACTACCAACAAAATTATTTTTGGTGATGTTACTCATACCTTAAAAACAAGAATTCTTGCTTGGAGGAAGAAAAGCTCCACAGTGCTTGTTTCTTTTAAGATTAAAATGTTTGGGACAAAAAACCTGAAATTGAAATTATCAATAATTAATTTAACAAGAAACACTACTAAATCTGATAACATGTCAAAATCTACAACGTAACAATGTAACGAGAACAGAACAATGTAACTAAAACAACAGCATAACTTTGCAGAGTAAACCCAAAATTCAGTTTTATTCTCATTGATTTTCACTGAAGATGGGTTTCTTTTATAGCCAGAATTTTCTATGTATTGCAGAAACAAGAATGGTCCACATTACATGTTTCCTTTTAGGTGAAAAACTCTCAAATAGAAAGTTTAAATAAACATATTTTTGGCTCAGAGACATTAAAGGAAAATGAACAGTGTTCCATTGTTGACTACTAATTAAACAACACTGACATTTCCTGCTTAACAGATTTGAGGAAGACAAGATGAAGGGTGGACCCTATCCAAGTACCCACCCCAGATGTGTGGTAAACCATTAAGGAATTGCCTTGATTATGTCATTCAACATAAACATTAACTATCTGGCCATCCATAAGCACTCAGTTTAAAGCATTTTGGCTTATCAGGGAGGGTTGATTGTTTAGGACAATGAACAATTCATGAAACTGAGGTTAGCTTTTATGTCAGTGCCCATTTGTTCTAATTTTCATATACTTGAACAGTTGAATCCTGCTCTTTCAAACTCTCAGGCACGAGTCAAACACTGTACTTCACATGAGCCGAACCCAATTCAACCAATTGGGCTCATGTGAAGTTCAGCTTTGACCCAATTAAGTTCAACTGATTTTATTTGGAGCGGCTGAGGCGTTCTTCACGCCTGGCCAGCCGTGAATAAGGCCTGAAGACCGACTTTGGGTCAGACGCCGATCTTCAAATGAGCTGAACCAAACGCATAATCAAACGTCTAAAGGCGCAATTTTGACTTTACCTTGAAAAACCACTGACCAACAAGACTGCTTTTGTTATTTGTTTGGTGTAGCAGTTCAGTTTGACTGAATTGAATTCAACGTTTGACTCAAACAGGCGTTCTTTTAGTTATTTGAGTTGACCCAAACTGTCATTAGGTTCGGCTCATGTGAAGTACTGCGTTTGACCTGGGCCTCAGGGTAAATGAAAAAAGTGTGAAATAAGAGAAGGTCGAAATAACCGATAGTAAATAACTGAGGGGCAAATCCAAGGTAGCAATAGCAAGGAATTTGAAATAACTGGGTTTAAATTAGTGGGGTTCAACTGTACTTATTTTCATTATTTTTATTTATTTAAGTAACTTATTATTTTCCTTTATTATAGGTTTCTTGGGTTACTATGCAATTAGCTCCATCAGCTTCATGTACATGTACTTGGATGGTCCAAACTTTATACACATTTTAAGTTATTTTTCTTTTAATTTGATATCTGGTATCTACACATAAGTTAAATTTCTTTATCACCTTTATGTAAACAAATACATGTACATGTGGGGGTGGAAAATAAATAAAGTCTTGTTTGTAGAATATGTCTAAAAACAATGTATGATCAAGAGGGACAGATTTAGAGAAATGTTATATTATCAGTCATGGAAATTTCAAGATCAAATAAAGTTGTACAGAAAGAAACATCCCTTACCTGACACAAAATACTAAAAGAACTGGGTCCTGGTATCTGGGAAGGTCATGCTCCAGAACACGTCTGTCAAGCCGTAGCCAGTTCTGGTGACTCCTAGAAAAACATAAAGGAGTGAAATTCAAGTTGGCATTCAAAAAGGGTTCAAGACACAGGTATGTTTTCTTAAATTAAGTAAAGTCTACTCTTATTCCATTCCTAGTCAATCACCAGGTGGAGGCTAAAACAATAAAACATATTGGAGGGGAGTTCATCATTAAACCCCAGAATTGCATTAGGTTTTTCACCTAATTAACACATACTCATGAATTCAATACACCACGGTGGAGAAGAAGGTCACAAGAACAATCGGTTAATGCTTACTGTACAAACTCCAAACCATGTACTCAAAGCCTAAAATTAACTGGCAAACTTTCCATCTGTAGGTCACATGCCTTGTCTCCACTCTGGGAAATAAGTTTCAATGATTTTCTGAAGATTTCTGACTGTTTCTAAGGAAATTTCCAATCAAGTTCTTTCTCAAAATTTTTGTTAGTTATGCAAACATTCCTAATTTTTTTGGATATTTTCAAAGTTTTCTTAAGATCTCTCAAAGATACAGTAATGGAAAATCCATCAAGACATTTTAACATACAAGTACATATCCAGCTTATTCAGCATTAAATATTTCAGGTAAATTATCAATGGCAATTGTGGCATTGTTGAAATCTCAATCTGTGGTGTCAAATCTTTTATAATTGTACAGAAAAAATTCTAAGTAGCAAAATTTACTGTACAAAAGTACCAGTATGTTAAATACATACAAGCAAAGAATGTTAATATTCTGCCCAAATGTACCATAAAAATATTAAAAAGAAAAGCATGCATAAAACTAGCCACTTGTCAGGACTGACATTAAGGGGCTTAACTCATACATCTAACACCTGTTTCAGCTGAGTATGCTCGATATCCGCTAGCCCCTTAATGTTATGGGTGACATTGCTTTTCATCGATACGATTGACCCACAAGGCAACTAGTTTGTTACGGGTGTGAAGATCAAGGTTTCAAGTGACTCAAAGCTTAATGACAGCCCTGCTTGTGAGGATTACAGGTAAAAGTTCAAGATCTGCTACAACAAGATTACATGAACTAAGATTTGGGATTCCTTGTCTGCAGTACTGTAAAAGTTAAAGTAGTGTGCATATCTGGTTAGCTATTATTAGCTATTATTATAAGATCCAGTATGTACATAAATACTATGCACATAAATATGCTGTTAGTAGTGATTGAAGTATGCAAAACAACTCTGCCAGTTCAAGAGATTTATGAAAATCTTGTAATAATTACAATTATTGTCAGCATTTTTGTTCCATCATTTTTAGAATCTGCTAATAACTACGTGTAAAATTAAGCCAAATTACACCATTTACTGGCACAATAAATCAAACAGGGCTTTGAGAGAACACAAATAACACAAGCTTCTGTTGGTCAGTTCATTCTGTTTGTCATTCATTTACTATTTTTAGATGAAAATGTCTCAATTGTCAGAAGGGCGGTGGAACAATAATAAATAAATATTAACCAATCATATCACTTCCAGTACCCCAGTTATTCTTAATACAATTAATCATCCAGCTGACAGCTTAAGTTTCAAAGTTACAAGGAAATTAAACACTCAATGAGGTGTAGCGAAGTTGGGTATCACTCATACATTTACAAATTGAGAAAATATTATTTCAACTAGTAGTGATACCCTTGCAAACGATATTCTAACTTTTTTGACATATGTTTACAAAGAAAAGGAATCCAAGATGGGTACTGAATAAATCATAAAGACATGCTTAAGCATTGTATTCAGTGGAAAAACAACAATGGTGCATAAACAATCGCACTCTCCTATTTGCAATGGACCGTGACAAGTTGGGAAACAGCCACTTAAATTATATATTTGTGTTTAAACGCTCCTTCACACATTCCAAGCTTAACCGTACAAGGAACTTAACCTGACCTTAACATGTTTGCAATAATTTTACATGTCACGTCTGCTGATATTTATTGAATCCTTGATGTTTATTATGTGTTGTGCATAAGTTCACTGCATGTAGTTTCAAGGATGAAAGTTTTTTACAGAGGTTATTTTAAAAAGAATTGGTTGTACACTGTCAGCGGAAGGTTTCAATAAATCAATAATTCACAGCTTACATGTATATCAGTGACATCATTAGCCACCTAGAAGAAACTATTCTAATAATTGACAAGTGCTAAGTAAATAATTTTTTTTTTGCATTCTTACATTGTATAAAATCTCTGTCTCTTTCATATCATTATTTCCTTGCAATACAGATCTATCAATCCATAAATTTCTGGCATCAGCACGAAAAATTGGTGAAAAATATAACTTATAAATTCTTTGAAAACTTTGTCTTGCCAATTCTTGTTCTGTAACCAAATCCCAAAAATGTGTAATTGGTATGATGGCATAAATATGTGGGCATTTTACACCAAGGAAACTTCGAACGTATTTTTAATTTTTATTGTTTATTTCCTGCTGAAAAACACCCTAACCAAAGGATTACAACTTCCTAATCGACAAACTCTCTGCTATTTTCTACGCACTTCCTGCAAAATCTTCCGACGACAGTGCAGGAAATACCCGAAATTATTGCGTTCTTTGCGGAAATTATCTCTAGAAAACTTGTGAATTCAATATGATGGGTGACCAGTTGTATCTTATCTATAAATATATGAAAAGATATTGTTTTTATCCCCGTTTCAAGACAACACAACATTGTTATAAACGCGGGAATAGACATCTTTACTAATTGTTACTGATTCCAATGAGTCACCGGCTAAAACTTTATTAGCTTGTGTATGTCAGGTTTCTCTCGATAAAGTATAACTGCCTTTGATGATTGAATTAGTTCACAGGTTTTGTGTTTTGACACATACAAACAGAAAATAACCAGAGCTCACCATATGAAAAATTGCGACGAACACAACGTAATCATCATACTATTTAAGCTCATAGTAAAGTTGTAAAACTTACGTAAGATTTTAAGCTGCTGTAAGCTTAAAATCCCAGCTTTAACGCGCAGAGAGAGGAATGAAACAGAAATTTGTGTTATTATCCAAGAATTAGCACGATTAAGACGTAAGCTGAAACTGATTTTGTGCAAGTTAGAGTGAAAATAATTGAGTCAAAGCGTGTTGTAGGTTATTGTTTTTATTAGAGGGCACCTAGAGAACGTTAGAACGCTACTGCAGACCTCCTGGAGGAACCATCCCGAGCATTTGGAGAAAGGCTTTAAAAATCACCTTGTAGTCGTTCACAATACGTCAAAATTAAAACAACGAGTCCACTAGCGAGTTAAGGGACACAATATAAAACTGCAGCGCTTGTAGTTCACGTGTTTGATCGCTGTAGATAACTAGTGCCAAGCTAGAGTAAACCAAGACATGACAATTCAGATGTTTACATCGCTCAACCCTGAATTTAACAGGTCTGTAATGGTCAGTGCAAACCGTTTAAGCCCTCTAAATCGCTGTATAAATAAAATCAAACCAACTTACGTGTCATCGGAGTAAGATAGGCCAAAATATTCTTTCTCGTGGAGGCCGACTTGCGAGGCAACCATATCAAGCAAATCACACGCCATGAGCCGAGGCTAAAGCGTGAAAGAAAGACGTTCGTACACGCGATTAACATTAGGTTTACTGCCATCGATTTTAGAACACCGCGATTTACAGCTTTCGTTGAATGTCAAGCCTGTAAGACAGTTATTTACCTGAACTAAAAGATCCAGTCGTCGCTCGTCCAGCATTATGATCTGACATCTTCGCGGCTTGCGAGCATCAGTCATTCTATAAAGATCGATAGCCGCGCTTATTCCTCTCGAAACTATGGCTACCGAGACAGTCTAAATCACAATGCATAGCTTTTCAACTATGCCTTTACCCACGGCCATTTCCTTATCCTCCGATTAAACGTGGAGGCAGCTTTCAGGTGTCCTAAAATAAAGAGTTTCTTTCTTCAAATTCGCACTCATCCGTGTATTTCCTGTGGGAATTCTATTTATGCTTTGCATTGCTGGAGGAATGAGTGGAATCTTCTGCGCATGACTATTACAAGCCCGCCTGCCAATCAAGCCCCGACTAAGCTTTTGAAGTGCCGCGACGAACCAACTCATGGAATACAACAGCGAAAAGCCGTATGCAAACTTTTATTTTGACTGTAAGAAAAGATAAGAGTTAAAATTTAGACCTTTCTCTGAAATTGAGGCGAAAGAATTTTAAAACCACCTCTAAAGCCGATGTTTTCTAGAAAGTCGAGAACAGAAAATTAGAGAGAAAAATTCTTTATACTTGGTAAGCACACCAATTTAGATCAAGGTAAATAATAATGATAATAAGAATCACATAGGTGCGACAATTAAATTGTATTAAAACACCAAAAAACATGGTTTTTTCCCACCGAGGGCGCCCCAAGTTCCCAGGCTGTTTACGTTATGTTGCTATGTTTTGACCGTGACGTCACGCGTTCCTGTTGAGAAGATCAACATGGCCGATTAGCGGTTCGCTGAATTCCTGTGTTACGCGAGAAATACAAAAATGGTAACTGGATGGTTTGTGCAATTTCTGTAATTTTCCTCCAAGGTATCGTTTTAATCCTCACTTTTCTCTCATGAAGACTTCTGGAGACACGAACGTCAAGGTTGCAGCTCGTTGCCGGCCGTTCAATGGTGAGCTTCGAGTATCTAATTTTTACGTTGATTATTCTGATGTAGCTGTGTTAGTAATCTGAACTGTGTGGAACTGTATATGTCTACTTTTAGATACTGTTATATTAAGTATAAGCTTAACTTTATTTTTAAGAAAAAAAATTGTGAATTAAGATGGAGTTTTTAGCTGGCTGTGACAATATGCATGGCCTGATCTGCATGCTTAAATTTCACCAAAGAACTTTTTTTATCCGCGTTATCTCAGCTTTGTCTTCTACTGCGTAGAATCGCCTTATCAGTTAGATTGATATCTATGTATTTTTGAAAAGGAGGGAAATATAAGGGCTAGCTATATTTCATGCATAGTGGTACGCTTAATATATCATTGAACAGCAGCACTTATGATTGCTTACTTCTCCAGACTATTAGACTATTAATTATTTATATATACTCAAACCTTGTTAATGAAAACACCACAGGGACCACAGAAATGGTCTGTAGTAATAAGTTGTTATAAACCCTATATCTATATCTATCTAGACTGTGAGCATTCTTCTTGCTCCAGGGGTACAGTTCACCCATTAAGCTACTAGTGAGCAACCACATTGTTATACAGTACCCTGCGAGCAGAGTCTCCTTCGATCTCCCTAGACAAATCGGGAATTTGTCTAGGAAGATCGAAGGAGACTCTACTTGCAGGGTACCACACTGTTGAGTTTTGAAGTTTTGAGTTTTGTGTTTTGTATGTAGAGGGGTACTCCAGATTTAAGGTGGCAGTGACATTTTAACTCGAAAGTCTGCTTACAGGCTATTTGAATGGAGGTATAAATCAAAACTTGAAAATCTGGAAGGGATAACTGATATTTAAGTTGTGGTTTCTCTAACAGATAGATGGTCAATTAGATAGATACAGTTCACTTCTTAAGCTGTATACTACTTGTGAGCAACCACATTGTTGTGATTTGAAAATGGCTACAAAAATAACGAGAGCATACGTTTCAAATTGCACCCCCCTAACACTTTCAACATGGAATAACACCCCTGGGCGCTAGACTGCTCATAGTCTAGTGCACCTGAATAGGAGTTTGACTGTTCCTCTCCTCTCCCCCCTCCCCCCTTACCATAACAAAAGGCAGAGGTGAGGGAAGGGGTTAACTGATGATGTACTGTGTATGTAACTACAGAGTAGTATCTGAGCAGTTCAAAGAATGTAGTAAAAATCTTAGGACCTTGATGACTGACATGACATGGCACTGATTAGTGATCCCCTCCCAATCATTTCATTTTGCAGAGGGCGAGAAGGGAAGGGCGGCCACAAGGGTGGTTAAAATGAGTGCTGAAAAAACAGTCATTCACAATCCACACCCTGGTACAAATACAAAGGTAAGGGGCAAGATGTAAATTAGCTGAATGATAAGATTAAGAGAAGTATTATAGGAACTTGGCAAGCTCTTATTATGATCTAATTGAGCGAATGAGAGGGTCAAATGAGGAAATATTGGGCTTGAGATCATGGCACACACAGACTGAGCACAGCAAGGTCTGTGTAAAATAATTGGGAGCCACATATTTTCTCATCCAACCTGCCCACCCTTCATTATATAGTGTACCATGTTAGAAGACTAAAAATGTATTGGTGAAAGTTTTGAAACATGTGCACTTAAAATGTGTTTTGCCTGGACAGCGTTTTTCAGAGTGGCCATATATATGGGTTATTGACCAAGCATGAGGTCAAGATGGCTGGATATTGGACAAGATCTTTTTTTTTGCGTGTTTTCCATAAACTCTAAAAAAAGAATTATACCTTGGTCAATAACGAATTTATTATATGGCTTTTGGGAAAATTTTTCTTTCACGACACAGCGGGTAGTCCCAAGCAGGCAAGATAGTGTCATGTTGCCTGTTTGGGTAGCTGATCACAGCGCAGTATTCGGTTCATCTTGCCTGCTCACAGAGATAACTATATAATAAAAATCTATCCAGGCTTTCTCACAGAATCTCATGACATGTAAGCCATGCTTATTTACAATTTTTTGTAAAAAAAAAACATTTTCTAGTTACAACAACTTTGCGCTTTTAGAAATGTGGCATTCATCTTTGAATTTATGTTCTCACAGGAGCATACCTTTAGTTTTGATCATAGTTACTTTTGGGACACCAAAACAGTAAGTAATATTTTAAAGTATTTAATGTTAATTTTGATATTAAGCATTTTTAATTAGCACACTGACTACCATTATTACATTTATCAGCTCTTATATTCAGTAAAACTGAACATTTTAAAGTTAATTGTTTATGTTTGATGGCAACTTCATAATTATTTTATCACATGATTACAGACTGTTATCTCAGGATTTTATAATTTTAGATTTCATTTTTATTAATTTAACACCATGATTCATAATCATTATGCTTGTTTTAATCTTTGATGTATAAAATAATGATAAATATTCTTAACCTCAGGAGCAAATATTTTATGACCTGGGTTCCCCATTATTGAAGAAAGCTCTGGATGGTTATAATGCAACCCTCTGTGCCTATGGACAGGTATGAAATTTATTGTCTTGACAGTTTCCACAGAAACTACTGACTGTGATGTCCATACCAAGGTACTATATCTCCCTGTACGACTTTTATCAGCTTTGTATTATCAACGTAACTTGAGATCGATAAAGGAAATGGCCCACAGACATACTTACATGTGGTTACTTGGCATTACAATACAGTAATTGGAGCAGTCTCATCACTGGTGACACTTGTAAAGGGTGTTTTTGGTTTTTGCTTCAGTTCAGAATGCTGACTAAGTGATCTACCTGCCTGCCACTTTATAGCATTTATATCAGTTTCATATTAATTATTGATGAGAAACTGATTATTTTATTTGCCAATAGACTGGAACAGGTAAAACGTACACCATGATGGGAACTGAAGAGGAGCCAGGTATTATTCCTCTGGTAAGGCTTTCTCATTACTCACAGTGAAGTCCTTTATTTATTAAGTACTGTAATGTAAACACAGACACTAGACTGAAAGGAGGTTGAATCAGAATAATTTGATCAGATGTTTTGGTGTATCTATAAAAGTAAAAGAAAGTGAAGCATACACAGTGTGAGTCGTTTGGTTGGTTTGCTGGTAGGGCATTCCAATAGCTAACCAGTCAATCATTCTGATGGTCAGTGAGACAGTCAGTCAATCAGTCAGTGGGTCATTTGTACACGGTCGACAGCGGTAATATTAGCAAATAGGTATCTTCCAAATGAAGCTGGTTCCAGGTGCTGCACTGAGTAGCATTGATGGGGCCAGTTTCCAAACTTTTTTCAGGGCTGTGCTCTAGAAGCGCCCAGGTGCCACAGGTGACTAACTTTTGACCTAAAGCGACTGGAACAACTCACTTTTTTCATATAAGTTTAAGTGCTGGGCACCCAGGATTTCATGGTTAGAAACCTTTGGGCTCCTCAAAATTTTTCTAAGATCAGAACTCTGTTTTTTTCATTTTGAACTTAACGTAGTGTGAAATAGCTGACTCCAGTTCTGTTAGTTGTCTGGTGTCAATATTTTAACTTTCACAGTTGCCGAATTGAAAATGTGACCAGATTGATCTTATGATACTTCTTGAAAGTTAATGGTTGAAGGTCAACTGATTCTCTGTTAGTAGCTTTTATCAAATGTTTTTGTGTTGGTGCCTTTTAGTTAAATCAAGCTCTGTTCAAGCACATTGATGAAGCTCCCCCAAGCAAACAGTTCTTTGTCACAGTTTCATTTTATGAGGTAGGAAATGCTGGCAACGTTTGGATTACCAGTACCTGACATGAAAATTGTTCGACTGTTACTAAATTAAATTCTTTCAATAATGATTTATAGATTTATCAAGAAATGATTCATGACCTTCTGAATCCAACTGGACAAGATCTCAGGGTCAGACAGCATCCACAACTAGGAATGTAAGAGTTTGTAACAATTAATCATAAATAATAATTATTATGATAATAAAGGACAGGGATGATTGTGTTCAAAGTGTTGTGACAAGTGGAAATTTGTTAATTTGTACTGCCAGTCATCTGTCTTAAGAAGTGATCCTGATCAGAGTTACCGGTATATAGTTTTACTTACATGTGTATTGTAGGCATGAAACGTAAACAGCTCCTTTCTTTCTGCAGTTTTGTTGAAGGTCTTGCTGAGCTTGTTGTTCAGAATAGTGAAGACATTGTTCGTCTCTTTGAACAAGGAAACAGAGTGAGAAAAATGGCATCTGTTGACAAGAACTCTGGTGGATCAAGGTACCATTGTAAAGGCCTTCTTACTCTAATGAAAGCAACAGTTGATGAGGGTTGAAGAAAGGGAACGTATAATTTGTGCAGAATTCCTATTGACTATCATCAGCATGGTGTCAAACAACTTGAGAATATACAAAAGTTGGCATCATTTGCTTGTATGTCAAATATTTGAAATCTCTTGAATTGACCCTAACTTCCATACATTTACTATTAATCAGGTTTAAATTTGACAAGAGGGCACAAGAGAACATAGGTGTAGGTCATGAGTTGGTAGTCTAATCAACTCTCCCTCTAGGCTGATCCCAGATAATATAATGTGGTTGTTCAAAGGTTTGGAATTGAACTCTGTTTTCTTTAGAGGGTAGAGCAAACATGTAGTTGCCATTAATATTCAGTTGATAAAAATGTGATTATTGATGATGGCATTTGGCATTGATGGCATTTGTGATTTACTTCGCAGATCAGACTGTGTTTTTACCATCCATGTTGAGCAGAAGAGTAATGGTGGATCAACTGCAAAAGGAATTAGATCAAAGATAACCTTGATTGATATGGCAGGTGCGTACAGTATAAGAAACAATAATCTAACCAGAGGTCAATAACTAACTGACTTGTAATTTAAAGTACTGTTGTTGAAAAATATAAAATCCTGGGCCGTGTTTTTCAAAGCCAGTTAAGGCTAACCCAGGATTAACAGTTAACTGAAGTATCCATTTTCTTTCTATAAAATATTTTTCATTGCTTATGTCCTGTGTACTTTGAGATTTTTCAAACTCAAACCTGTAGAACAAACAATATAAACAGGAAACAGTACCCAAAAGTTACAAAACTGAAATCAGAATTCTCTCTAATCCTGGGCTAGCTTAATCAGGGTTTGAACAACCTGGCCCTGGTTATAATACCCACTTACAGGCCCTTCTGTGAAGAGGTACATTTGTCTAATGGTTAATGTGCAAGGGTGTGAGGCTTGGTTTCAAGTCCAGGCTGGGGACATTGTGTAGGGTTCTTGGGCAAGGTACACATGCTAATATTACTACCGCAGTGCCTAACTCCACCAGATGAATTAGAGGCTACTGGCAGATTTAATTCTTGGGGTAACCTAGTGATGGACTAGCATCCCATCCAGGGGGGAGGAGAAATTCTTTTAGTCACTTACTATGGCAAGTGAGACAGGTGCTGTCCATTGCAGGTCCGTCCCTCTCTACTAAAAGGGAAGATGTTCTGTTTATATTTCCCCTCCTTGTTGTTAGTCCTTTCTCCTCTAATTTTTCCGCACTGGCATTTGCATCCTCATTATAAATACACAGCCCAGCTGTTAAACTGTTGATACTGTCTTTCAGTTCATCTACATGACATGGGGATTGTAGGTCTTTAAATAAAGCTCTTTTCATTTTTTATCATCCATAGTTCTTACAAGACTTATTTGTGCTGAATGTGACTCTAATAGACAGGGTTTTACTGACCTAGGACTCCGTTCATGTTAATCCCTCTTTGTGCTGCAGAAATAGGAAATAAATGCCGGCTTGGCAAGGAATGAGCAGTGAGGAAGATTTTTAATGGTCTTTTTTGCTATGTTTAGGATCTGAGCACATGGAGGGAGTTGACCTTAACATTCAAAGCGAAGGTGCTTTCATAAACAAAGGGTGAGTTACGATGTTGTTTTTAACTGAGTGGCAGCATGGAATGTTTATGAGCATTTGAAGGGGCATTAGTGGCAAATCTGTTTCTTTCTCAATTTTCTGCTGCACTCACTGTGTGCATGTATTGTCAAGGTTTTCATTCCAGTGAATATCTGATTAGAAAAGACAAATTGTTTATTGTGTAGACTGGAATAAGTCGAACTTGTCTTTCCATCGTGGGGATTTGTTGACAAAATTTGTCTCTTTTTAGGATCAGTGCTATGAATGCTGTCGTCACTGCTTTAGCAGATCCCAAGAGAAAGGAAGGCCACATCCCGTACAGAGACTCAAAACTAACTAGAATATTGCAGGTGACTATAATGTTTATGTGCTTTAGTTAAACATGGTAGCTAGGTTTTTTCTGCATTTGTCTCTCTGACCACAAGGAATTTCCACTGACTTTGTCAACAGTGAGTTTATTCTTCTGTTACTTGTTTAAAAGGCTGCCCTTTTTTGGGTCTTTTTGCTTGCCGGTTTTTCTTCAGATCCTAGTTTGCACTGGCATGAATTCTATCACATCACTCTTGTAACTGGAACTATTGTTATAAAAGAAATAGGCAACCACCACTTTGAACTTACATTAGGCTAAGTTAAACATACAAATACTCTGTGAGAGAGTTTGGTAGAACTTTGAGGTGCTTATGTAAATCATTTCCTGCTCTTCATCTTTATCAACAACAACAGCGACAACAAAACAACAACAACAATAACAACAACAAAACAACAATAACAGCTGGTAATTGTGTCACTCTGCTATATTTTTGGGATCCCACAGTCCCACTAATGATCATTTTTGTCAGTGTAACCAAACTCGTGTGCACATCTTTTTTGTTCTGTCTTTAATAATTTTTGCTTTTAGAAATTACTCTTTAGCAAGCACTGTGTTGTTGTTTTAGGATTCACTTGGTGGCAGTGCATGTACAGCCATGATCATGACTGTGTCGCCAGCAGGTACAAAAACTTCTACTTATTGTACACTTAATTTTTCCTTGCAATATTAATACATCATCAAGAAATTAGGTTAGGAAAATATAGAAAGTCATCAACATGGAGAGGAGACGGATGCACACACTACAGTTAGGGAATTTGGCGACACTCTGGTTGATGTGTGGAGGCGTGGTTGGTGCTTGTGGTTAGAGCACTTACCTCTGGATTGAGTGGTTCAAGTTCGAACCCCGGCCAAGGACATTGCCTCGTGTTCTTGGGAAAAACGCTTCACTCTCACAGTACCTCTCTCCAGCCAGGTGTATAAATGGGTACTAGCGAGTTTAATGCTGGGGGGTGACCCTGCAATGGACTAGCATCTCACCCAGGGGGGATTAGAAATACTCCTAGTCACTTGATGCCACAGAAACCACAGATAAGCCCCAGCCTGATGGGCCACTTGGCTCGTGTGCAGACATTGCCTGATTGAAGTTCTGTCTAAATTCACAGACCTAAGATTAAAAGAAATGTCTCGTGGTAAATAGGGAGACTTAACGTTTTTAACTTGGAGCTGTCCTTTGATTTTATCTTCTGCAGACTCTGATTATGACGAGACACTGGCATCAATGCAGTGCGGAAATAAAGCAAAACTAATTGAAAATGCTGTGAAGAGAAATGAGGTACCATGATGTGGGCTTTCATTGCCTCTACATTGTTTAGTTGCCTGCATTAGCAGACCTGCTCTTGTTTAATAATGGCCTGTGCTCTTGTGCGTTTTTAGTTACTTTCACAGCAAAATTAAATGCACAAGACAAAACAGCTTTTAAAAATTAGTTTTAGAGAAAGAAGGAAAAACATTTCAGAACGATTGACAAAAGTGCTAAAAGTTCGAAACGTCGGGCTGTTTTACTCCCTCAAAACTGTAGCAAACTTTAGTACACCACCATTTCCAACGTAAGTTATGTACATGTAGATGTAGGTGACTGCCCCTTGACCAAATGATATTTTCATCCTGACACTGCTCAGCGCTTTACAACAGCCAGGGTTTTATAATTGCCCATGCTGCCCATTGATGCATTCACTGAGAACGTCTACACTTAAACGTTCCAGAGAAGACCACCTCTAGCCAACGGATAGTTAATTCTTTCTCTACGTATTGGCCTTGTGGAGATGTTGAACTCTGTGTAGTATACGCTTGTATCCCGGGGGGGTACACCCTTACATGGGCTACATAGGTATGTGCAGCCCCAATAGGATTTCGAATTTATGGTCAGGTCATAAATAGGGTAGGGAAAATCGCAGATTTTGGTCATAAATAGGGTAAGGGTTTTGGGAAGCTGGCTGCATACCCCCACCCAATTTTTCTGGGAGTACCCCCCNCCCCCCCCCCCCCCCCCGCAGGGGCTTGTATATAGATGCTACCTTATTAGCATTGACTCACTTTACTGAATGAAGGCTACCTTGTAAAAACCCACAGATAGAGAACACTAAAATTATTCAGGATTTGAGGGACGAGATAGCACGCTTACGAGAGAAGCTAGCGACTTCTGGCAGAACTGGAGGAACAAGCAAAGATGATGTGCTACAGATGGAGGTAAAGTAGTTTTGTCAGAAGCTTTGTGGAGTGGGTCTTTACCTCTTTGAAATTGTAAACTTGGGAGAAAGTTCTTTGTTCTTTCGTCATTTCCCAATATTTGTCCAGTTGTTACTGATGACGCATTTAATTTGTAACTGAATAGACCAGTTTTAAATTGAGTGTCTTAAAACCAAAACCAAACCAATTACTTGCCAATTAGACTACTCGACTAATCTCAAACCGTAGTAAAACCAAAACCAAAGTAATTGCCTGATACCTTTCGACACTCAATAGAAAACCGCTCTGGTGGCTGATAGATTTTGACATGTTTGAGGAGTTTTCTTCAATAACGCAATAAGTATAGGAGTATTTATTTGTTGTGAACCAGGAGCTTATAAAAGATCTTCAGACAGCTAAACGGCAAACTTGGGAAGAAAGAGAGAGATTGTCGGAGCATTACGATGAAGAACGAAGAATAACGTTGGCTAACAAGGTGACTTTTGAATTTAATCATTATTGCTGAATTACCCCCGTTCAGTCATTTGAGTGATGATTGGGATGTAGTTTAGAAGTTTGTTTGAGTTACTAGACTTTCGTGACTTTTCGTTTCACCAAGATTTACCATGTCCGGGTTTTGAGACATTTTCTTGCAAAGTCAACCTGCCTCTCAATTCGGGGAAGGTTACAAAACAAGATGAACTATTTCATGCTGAAACGTACGTGCTCGGTTTAACCTCCGCCACTGAAGTTTCACGTGAAATGACATGGTGTGACAAGACTTTGAGGTAAAATTTGTTGATTTTGTTGTCAGGGTATTTTGGACTGGGTCATGGACAGCACGAAAAGAGATAACAAAGAAGTACAAGAAAAACTGATGGCCCTACAGAAAGAGAAAGATCAGGTGAGAAAAGAGACAATTACATGTATATTCCAGCTGTATGTGTACCAACTGATGGAGATAACATGGCCACCTGCTGCGTTTTCCCGCCTATTTTTCCCGTCTTTTTTGCGTGGTTTAACGAGCGGTTTCTCAACACGGACACTTGGTGTTTGTTTAGAAGGCCTATGGCTGCTGAACGTGCTTTTTTCATACAAATGTAATAAACAGTAGATTTTTCTTCTTTTAAAACATTTTATGGAATGTGTTAAACTACTGGAACTTCAAATATATAGAGGATGCGATTTCTTAACGACTCTAATATAGTGCGTGTCTAATATAAGTCAATACGAGCTAAATACTACCCTTCAAAGGATTTGCAAAATCAGTCTACCCTCAGATTGTCTGCGTCGTGATTCATTTCCGCCTTTGGCGTGGTTAATCATTCTTACTTCCACATAGGATCCTGTCATTTGTCGAATACTGTTTTATTTTTACAGAGTTAAACCATTACGGTCGGGCTTTCTCGGACGCGTTAGAGTTTTTCGAAATCATACAAGTTAGGATAACTGTAGTTTGATTCAATTGATTCTCGTTTTTAGCTGACGGCTGAGTTCAAAGAGAAGCGAAAACTTGTGGATGAACTGAAAGATGAATTGCAATCAAAGATTGCTGATTACTCCAAGATGGCTGAATCTGGTAAGAAAACGAAGCTAAAGGAAACGATTTTTACCGCATTACCTGAAGAAATAAATTCATTATTAGAACCACGGAAGGTATTCAGCCTTGTAATGACGTCAGTGGTTGAAGAAACGCCTGAATAATCCTGGATGGAGTCAAGAGTATATGTCTACGGAAATTTTAAACACTTTGAAGTCTCGGTCTTGCAATTGAAGGAGTCAAAATGTGTCCGTCTGAGAACGAAAAACGCTAGTCTCACCTTCTTGCAAAGTCTCGCATTTACCACTCACCACCCCTTATATTTAGCATTTTTGGTCACTATCCACTAGTTGTGGCTAAGCTGTTATGTTGTGATTTTTAAGGCAAGAGTAGCGAGGAAGAGAACAAGGCCAGAGTAGCCGCTATACACGACTTGAAGGAGAAACTCAAGGGTGAAAATGATGAGCTGAAGAAGATTAAACACAAGCTGAAAGATGTGCAGGAAAAACAGAAAGCCGAAAAAGAGGTTAGTCAACTTTACGTTCAGTAACTGGAGAGACGCCCCACCCTACCCCACCCAGGATAAGATGCTAATCCGCCAATTCGTTGCCACAAAAACTGAAGTTAAGTGTCAAGACAAACGCTGACAAAGGCTGACTTCTGTTAATTTTTTAAACGGAGTATCCCGTATTGACATCCACCACAGAGCAGCCAATTTCAACCGCAGATTTCGAAATAAACCAAAACCATTCGACACTGTCTGGAGAAATCCGGTTTTCGATGAATGTGACATTGTCTTTATTTTATTTCACAGGAGGCCAAGTCGCAAACCACCTTTTTGAAAGGAAATGCGGAACTGAGATACAGAATAGAGGTAGGTCTTCAGTATTTTCTTTTCTCGGAGTTGTTGGCTCATCAATGGTAAAACGATGAATAAAACATTTTGTGCTCGTTTTTCAAGCGTTTTTCTTTGTGTTGTTTTTTTTCTCAGAGCGAACGGCGCGAGAAACATGAGAAAGAGAACGCTCTTACGTTGGCAGATGAAGTGGATCGCGTTAAAATGGAGGTGGAGCAGGAAAAGGCTGAGCTGCAGGTAAGTAGGAAACAGATTAAGTGAGTGTGAAATTTTTAATCTCCAAGACAGACAGAAAACAACAATCCTTTCCGATCATTAATCACAGTTCAATGGATAAAGGGGAGTTTACGAAACCACGGCGGCAACGGCAACGGGAACATCACTGAACAAAAGAATTAATGAGCAGTACAATGGCTGTGCACGTGCGTTATAATTCTTGGTACATTTCTTTGCCGTCCTCTGCAAAACAACAACGTGAAATGACCAAATTTTGCGTTGTCTGGAGAACGTGAACCACGACYGCTAATTTTTTAAATTTTTACTTCAAATTTATCGCTATGTTCCGGATTTAGTTTTGCGATAGTTTTGACAGTGATAAACAAAGTAAATGACTTAAGAGTATCGCGAGATTCGTAGGTAAAATATAAATTCATTTTTTAATCAACGTTGTCCTCGGCGTCGGCGTCGTGGTTTCGTAAACTCCCTATTGCAACATAAGGTGGGCACTGGTGACGAACGTACAATCCCAGTGCGAGGTGAACCTTCTAAATGAGGTTACGACTTGAAATGTACAAAGATTTATAACGCACGTGCACAGCCATTGTTCTACTCATTAAACCTTTTGTTTGGCGACGTTCTCATTGCCGTTAAGCTCACTAAATTAAGGCACGATCCTGCAGACCGTGGGAATTAACACGCTGAAAAAGATGAAAAAGCGTAAACCATACATGAAAGTTTGAAATAGTACGGATTACTTCACAGTGAGAAATAAACCGCTCGTCTTGTTTTGCTGAAAAGTGAAGATACCCAGTTTATGTAGAAATTCAATTTAACACTCTGTTTGCTGTATGCTGTATGCTTTATTGACGATTCATGTAACTTTTAAATATTTCTTGCAGTTGAAGGCTGCAGAGGGTGCTCAGTACAGCACTGAACAGGCCATCAAACTGGAAATGGAACTGGTTGAGTTGAAAGCTGAGCGAACTGTTATGTCACTGCGGGTGAGAAACGTTTCTGCCAATCTCGAAAACAAAGCGCCAAGACTGGCCTAGCCTGTGATCAGGTTCGCGAGTCGAACCCCGACCTCATCCCCCCTCGGGCACTTTACCGTCAGCATTGTAGTAGTTCCTTTTCGGCCCTTCTAGCTGCGGTCAGACCCTTCCAGCCGGAGCCTGTTCACAGGCTAAGATGGCTGTCTATGCTTCAGTGACCTGTAGCGCCTTCTGGTACTTAATCTGTTCGCCAAAAGCTGAGAAAGGAAGTTGAATACATGTTTGTTAGATTCAGGAACCGTTGAAGAGTGTTGTTCTACTGAACTCGGGTGACAAATCAGGAAAGAAAAATTGCGCACTTTGTAGTTGTAGTTGTCTTCAACTGATAAAATATATAGGAACGGAAATGCGTCAAACAACGTATGTGTTAGCTGTAATTGCTTTTATGCCCGTATTGCTGTAGATTCAATCGATAACAGAGGAGAAAAAGCGCTTAAAGGCAGACTTGGAAGAGGCTTACAAGAGACATAAGGAAGAACTGGAAATTCAACAACTACAACACTTCCAGGTGAGTTAGGATGGTAGGATGACGTGGAGGGAGGAGAAAGTAGGGTAACGAGAGAGCAGGGGAGGGGGCGTTTTTTGACTTCTTTGTTGGCCGCCATCTGTACTCCTAGATGGAGCAAGGAAAGAGAAAGTCAGTTTTTTTTGTTTAAGAACATAGGTCGATGGTAATGCCAATAGGCTCAGTTAAACGATTAACAAATGCCAAGTGATAAAGTGATAAAGAAGTACGTCTTGTATAAAACCAGTTACTTTTAGATACTCAAGTGAAACCGTTCTTTTTATTTTGCAATTGATTCCAGACATTTCGCAACTACCGAGAAGTGTTCGAGGAACAGAAATCAGCCATTGAACAGCGCTACCGAACACTGCTGGAAGAGGCGATACAAGACGCTGTGTTCCTGTCCACAAGAAATCAGGAGCTTATGCACGAGAACCAAGTGCTTAAACAAGGTAACGGGAAAACCTGTGATCACTAATTACAAAGATTTCTGTTTCCTGCTTGAGCTCCTGAGTTCAGTTGGCACTAAGTCGAAAGCTGTGAAGTGTTTTGGCTCGTGGGTAGGGTACTCTCAGAAAAATTGGGTGAGGGTGTGCAGCCCGCTTCTTAAAGCCCTTACCTTGTTTAAGACAAAAATCTGTGATTTCCCCTACCCTATTTATGAGCCGACCAAAATTCGACGTCAGACCTGCCTTATATTTAGTTCCCTAGGGAAGGGCTTTTATCGATGGTCTTATCAATAATGATGAAAAAGTAGCTTCTTCTAACAAAACATACCCAGTTCAAGACTAGAGAGCAAAAACCGTACCCTATTTATGACCAAAATGGCCAAAATCGATACCCTATTTCCAACCAAAACGGCTAAAAGACCATACGCTTTGGGCCCATATAAGGAAGAACCCCCCTTGTTTGGCTCGCGGGCTCATCATCCTTTGTCTCAGTAACATATACTTATTCTGTTCTGAGTGAACCAAGAAAACCTGCGCTCAGTCGTGAATCAAGAAATAAATTAGTACATGTAATTGCATGAATACGAGAGTAATTAAGGATTTACACCTCCGGTGGTATTTCTCTTAAAATTCCATTGTGAATTTCCCAAGTGAAAATTCAGTCTTCCGCTCGAAAGACTGAGTTCATTTACAAAGGGATTAACTTCATTCAATCTTGAAATGTTCTCTTTTTTAAATTTATTTACCCTGTATATAATACATTACAATTACAGGTTACTTAAGTCACAAAACTTACAATTTAGAACACAATGCTAAAATCGACTTATACTTTGCTAAATTCCGAGTTTACAGTTATCACTTACAAAATGTTATTTTACATTACCTACTACAGCACTCTACTTACTACATACGACATTACCTACTTGAAATGTTCTGAACAACGATTTGTATTGTGTTAAAATTCGTCTACATGACTTTCTCAGAATGAAATGGATTCTCGCGAGCTGTTCAGTCGCTCTTGTCCCGACGCCTGTAATTGTCTCGTTGATTGTATTTTTGTTTTCTTTTTTCTCCTCTAGAAATGGCCGAGCTTAAAGACCAGCTGTCTCTTGGAGGAGCAAACGTCAACCAAGCTTAGTCTAACACTCGACTACGACAAGAAGAAAATAATTTTTTTGTTGACAAAATCCACTACTTTGTGTAGTTAAGGTTTCCTCTTATTTTCTCAAGTCCTGTTCGGTAATTGCTTCTTTATATTTATTTGCACGCTTAGAGGGTCGGGGACAGGGCGGGGAAGCTGCGATGAATGTTAAGTTAGCTTCGTTCGCCTGCCGGTCAGGTGATACTACGGCAGAACGCCTGCGAGGTGCGCGCGACACAACCACGAGGTTACCTTGAGGCCACCGCGCGGGTCGAGTGCATGTACAATGCAGAGCTAGGTAGTTCTCGTTTTCTTTGTAAGTTTTACACTTAATAGTGAAGAAGTCAATTTGTAAAATAATATTTTTTACCTTTGTAGTTCTCCGTAAGCCCCATTCAGATCCTCTAAGTACTAATTTAGTTTTATTTATAATCTTCTCAAGCACACTGTATCATGCTGTTTTATCTCAGTATGAGAATCGTTGTCTATTTTTATTAGGGTTAAATGCGTTAAAATAGAGTCATGCGATTCACACAGCGAGACTCAACAAACCTTTTGGAAATTACTTTTGACTAGAAAGTACTGTCGGAGGTGTTTGCCGATTGCTGACAAAATATCTTGGTTCATAGAAACTTTTACTGATGCAGTGTCCTATGTCGGAGGAATTTGAAAACGCAGCTTTATTTCTAAAGGTTAGGCCTACCGTCCGCGCAAATCCGTCACGAAAACGGATCGGAGCTTCTCGAAAACGCTTTCCAAACCAGATGAATTTGAGTACACCGGCTTTGCGTTTTAGTGTGGATGAAAACATTTTGAAAACGGAGCTTTTTGAAAACGTTAGCGTCACTATAATCATTTAATCTCCCTGACCGAGTTTTCCACAAACACAAATCCAAAATGACCTGTGATTGTTGCATTTTGAAATTCCTTCGGTGAAGTGTGGACGGAGCCTGATACAATTAAGCTATGCTCCTGGTTAGGCGTTAGCGCTTTTGTGTTCGAATCAAGTGATTTATCTTGGTTCGAATATTTTCCAGAAAGGAAGTTTGTCTCTCGACTGTGTACAGCCTGAGGACCCTGGTCTGTATCTTTTTTTGCGTTTGCACTTTATTAACTGCGATTTAAAAATCGCTCAATTAAGATAATTCTGCGTTATGTCAAGACTCAGTTGAATGTTCATATGCGTTAATTTAAGTATTTATATGTATAGATATGTCAACGATTTTGGTATATTAAAAGCTATTTTGTTCTAAACGAGGCCTATTTATTCTTGGTGAAATATTTCGTTTTGTGGAATTATCTCCATGCTTATAGTTGAGCTTGAGCTTTTGAATGGCGAATGAAAGTATCTTTCGATCTTACAAAAAAAAAAGAAAAAAAAGGAAAACGAGTATTGAAATTTTTTAATGAAATAACTGAGCTACTACACGCGCTCTCATTGGTCGATAGGTGTGTTTAGATGAGAGTGTGTAAACACAGTTGCGATGTTTTAGATTCGCGTGTATTTTTAAGATTATTTTATAAAAGCAATAAAGCACTTTTTCCTTGTTTACATAGCCTCATCTAATCACTCGGTGCTGGGGGGGGGGGGGGGNACGTGTTAGGTTCGCGCGTATTTTTGAGAATTATTTTTTAAAAGCAATAGAGCACTTTTTCCTCGTTTACATAGCCTCGTCTCAACACTCGGGTGGGGCTGGGAGAATTCTCGAAAGTTACGCAAACCCTCGACTACGTCGCAGGTTTGCATGACTGTCACGAATTCTCCCAACCCTCCTCGTGTTTAGATGAGGCTATGTAATCGTACTCGCACGATACTGCAGTACCGCCTCTACGCTTCTTATTTTTTCCCTCATTTCCTCTGATTCGCACCCTTCTACCTCCCACATCCCTGCTCTAAACTCGAATTTCAGGTTTATTTGGCATTCCAAATCTATAAAACACGCACCGTCCCCCGGTGAGTTGGGCGGAGAAATTTTTTCCCCGCCAGTTAGAACTTTCGTTCTCATCAATACAGTCGACCTTTCCGCCCTCATTCCTACTCAAAATGAAATTATAAATGAACGTGAAACTTTACAACATTTTAAAATTGGTCTCGAAAACTTGCACCGCAGGAAAAGTGACGTTGCCTGCAATGGCGGTGCGCAATGCATCACTCTTGCCACGTCGCTTAGAACACGTCCACTGCGCATACTCAACACATCTGCATTTCGTGGCTGCAAGCCGGAGGACTTTTGACGAAATTCAGAAAAAATTAGGTTCACTCACGCTTTTCAAAAACGATTGGCGAAAGCTCAGTGAACCCCACTTACCAACGACACAGTTGTCAGGTTTAAATGTATTTTAGGTGATGTCTGGGGGAAGGTTACCGCCGAGTAGTAATGCTTTCTCGGTTGGTCAACAGCAACCATACATCAATCACGACGGTGTGAATCATTTTCAATCTCCGCAAAACTATGGAGCATTTGTGCAGCCAGAGAAGAAAGGAGTAGGTCAGGAAAGCCAATACACACCTGTAATTAACAGTCAGGCTCAGAGTGTTCCACAAGAAATGAATCCGGCCTTGAGAGGTGAGGAAATTTCTAATGACAGATTGGGTTACAGAAATGTCAACCTTCTCTCTGAAGATCGATGTCGATTTCTATCTTAATTGTGGTCGTTTTCTCATCCTCTTTAACCCGGTAAGAAAAACAGAGTTTGAAATTCTGACGGAAGGGTTAAAATGGCATCGTTTGATTTTCTTATTTATCATGGCGTCATTAGTTTTAGTAGCAGGTAATTCGTTGTATCACTTGGCTGTGGAAGTTTTCATGCTTGAAACACGAACCGGTAAATCGCAATTTAACATTTACGCTATCGTTACTAAACTGAGTTATTCAAAGATAGCAAAGTGTCTTTAACAAAGTTTTATCTTAAATGTGCGATAATGACAAGTGTTGTTTTGTTTGCCAAATCAAGGCTTCGGTAAAGGTCTTGTAGCTCTATAATATGTTCTTATATTTTATTTGTAAATAATCAAGATTGTTCACTTATTAAAGCTTACAAAATGTACAAAGTTCATTTTACAAGTACTCTTGACTGACCTTTATTCCAGCATACATTTTTGACTTGAAGTAAAGTAGGGCATCAATTGTTTCTAAATTTATAAACTTGTTGACAGAAGTAATTATAGCATTCCGGTAGTACTACATCATATGCATACTCCTTATATTATGTTAAATTTACACTCTTACCATTTGGCAGGTTTCATTGCTTAACTAGTTTCCCCGATACAAGTGAATATATGAAAGTTTGTATATTTAAACTGCAGAGAAAGATATGAAGACATGATTTATCATCGCAGTTATATATACACACAACTTAGTCAGCCGTGAAATTAAAGTCTGAAAAAAAAAAATTAAAAAATTCAGGTTTGAACAGGATCGTGTTCAGGCCTGAATTTTTTTCAGGTTTATAATTTCCATGATATTAGCTTTTAATACAACAACGAGAAAAATCTCTATATCTTTTTCCTTATGCTTATTGAAGTCTCTCTCTGATTCTTTAGGTTCCCAAGGACAATATCAAGGACAATGGCCTCCATCTCTGCTGCCTGGCCAAGGTCAATACAGAGGCAACCCTCCAGTAGTTAATAATGCAGCGAGTGTATCATCACAAGCTATGAATAATTCTCTTGGACCTTCACCAACGTCAACACCACCAAGGAGAAGTCCAGTCAATCCTGGTGAGTACAAAGGGATAGTTTCATGGTTCGGCACATGTGCAAGCTGTGATGTAGCCCACCCAATTCTATTGCTTATAAACCAATCAAATAATTAATTAATTATTCCAAAAGCATGTGCTGGATATGAGATGATAGATAGCCAACAAGGCGCGTAGCCCAAAGTTGGCTATAATCCTCTCATATCCAACAAGCTTGAGTGAAACAATTGTTTTATTTTTTACGATAACAGCAAAATTCTCAAGTGCTCATTGGTTAATTTTTGTTGTCAATAAGCAGACAGACACAAATTTATAATTTATGCCATGCATCAACAAGTGAGAGTGGACAATTTAACAATTTGTTATCATAAAAAACAAATTGACATCAGTTTTTCATGCGTCTGTCCTGTTATTGATGCTGAATTTCATTTTAACATTGTCAAAGTAGTATGCTGATCCACTCGGCTCTTCCTTGGTGAATCCACAGCTACTTTGACAATGTTATGACGAAATTCAGCATCAACAACAGGACAGACGCATGAAAAACTGACGTCAATTTGTTAAATTAAACACGCCCCCAAAATATAGAAAACTAAAATAAAATGAAGATAAATATGCCTAAAATAATAGTAATAATATTTGGAGAGCATGGTATAATGGCTCATAACCCATGATGGCTAAGCCAATAAAAACTCTCTAATTGCATTATCCAATGATCCAGTTTTTAATATGGGAAAATAACTCGTTTGTCTGGTTCAGAATAAAATCATTGGGCTAAATAACAAATTTGATGTTCAATTCTAAATTTGTTATTTTCTGTGTAAATCCATCTACATCTTTTGTAAAATTTGGGCACCAGTCATTCTGCTAGCCTTCTTGTGGCCGTGTATGCTTTCACAAAAAATAGTCTGTGATTTCTGAAATACATCTTGGTGATGAGAAAACAAAAATGTAGTTTATGCATGGAGTTACACCATACAAAAGGAATTCTATTTAGAATTCTCACCTTGGCCAGGGCTCAAACGCGGACCACTCTATCCAGAGTCGAGGCCACCATGCCTCCACTATAGACAATATATGATAGCATTAATTACAACAATTTAAATTCTGAGCTTTTTCTCTTAAGGTGATGAATAATAGTTATGATCTTAAAATCGTATGTTTGTTTGTTCTCAAGGGCAAGCTGGCATTTCACCTCCCAACAGTCAACCTCCCACTTCAAATGCTATTGTCAATGGTCCTGTTACAGGTGCAAGACCTCCTATAGGAGTGGTCCCTGCACATCCTAGAATGGGACAATCTGCACCAAATCTGAATGCACCAACAGAAGGACAGTCCGCTCCATTGTCATCAGGAGCGTCACTGGCAAATGGACCTTCATCGCAGTTGAGTGCTCAGCAGCAAGCGCTAAGTAGTAATATACATCCTGGAGCATCGCATACTAGCTCTGCATTTACACCAGTGACCTCCTCTCCTCATGCAAGCCAACACTCTCCCTCTGCACCTCCTCTTCCAGGACAATCTCAGCTTGGATTTTCTGCCCAAGGGCAGTCTAACGTTCAGGGTCAGATGCCCCACTTTGGGCAGGAGACAAATTACTCAGGACAAACTCAAGGTCTGTCTCCAACTGCAGTGCCACCAGTATCTCAACCATTATCAGCACTGCATTCTAGCAAACCTAAAAGACCTGCCATGCCTATGAACACAGGGCCTGGTTATCCAGGGCAGCGAGGGAGCCCATCTCCTGGGTCAACACCCCCTCCACCGACAGCTTTACCAGGATCAACAATGGCTCAGAGAATGACACCACCTCCTCCTACAAATCTGCCAGGTGCAACAATGCCTCAGGGGTCAACACAGCCTCCATCATCAAATTCCCCAGGATCAAGTATGCCTCAAGGCATGTTCAACCATCCACCCACAGGATATTCCCCAATGGGGCAAGATTCTCAAGCTGGAAGGCCTATTTCAGGAAGAAGAAGACTGTACCCTACTCAGGTGAGCATTTTTGAATGAAAACATAGCTAGAGTGGCTTTCAATTGAGTGTCATACAGTGTTCTCCTTCTCAGGCAGTAACCAGTAAATTTACCACCTTAAGTATCATTTATATATATTACTGCCTAAAATTGCTTGGAATTCTTGAAAATTCAACAGGTAACAGATAAAAATATAGAGTTGTTTCGCCAATGTTATCAGTATTTGATCGTTGTAAAAGAATAAAAGAAAAAAACAGATAAGCAAATAAACTACACTACCTATTCCTTTTGAACTTCAAAGAAAGACCCACGCATTTTTGGCAGGCTTTCTGTCACAATTCCTGCACTGTTTACATTCAGTTTCACGATGAAGCAGCAGAAAACGATATTCTCCTTTCTGTCCATCAGCAAGGGCAAGAAGTCATGAAAAGAAACCATTATAGGTAACAGTAATTTTAGAGGAAAAAAATATTTAATATGCAAGCAACTGGAATTCAGTTACTTAAACTTCCCCTAGTTCTTAATATCTGGTTGCCAGCATTCAATATTTGGTCGTATTGGCTACCAGTGAGTCGCAATTTCAAGCCCTGTCTGTTGATGTTCAAACCAAGCTGATAATCATACTGTGACAAAGTTCCTTTCATGCCATGGTAGTTGATGGTTTTAAGAACTTTTCTCTCCTCCCAGACAGCACCACCTGCCATGCCTGGCCCAGCTGGAATGATGAATGTTGCTGGCCAAGTAAACCAAGGGTATCCAGCTGGACAGATGCCTTCTATGGGTCAACAGCCAACTGTTGTAAGTTACATGTAACTTTTATTTAAGACATAGAAAACATGTACCATGTTTCTATGGAGTTATACATAGAATCATGTTCTTATTTCTATACATAGTTATGTGTAGAAACACAAATGGAAGTTTGAGAGAATGAAAAATGCCGTGAGAACATGAGCTGACAGGTGAGTGTTTCTACAGCTTTTTCAAGTTCTCCCAAACTTCCACAAGTGTTTCCATAACTCGACAGAAACACAGAGAACATGTTTTCTATTTCTTTTACAAATTCCACAACAACAACAAAAAAGAAATAAACTTGTTTACTTTGATCATCAGTGGAAATTCTCTTTGCTTGCACCATCATTACGTCAACAGCTGGTTCACTCCCTATCAGCCACATAGTCATCATCTTAGTTGTCATCAGTGCACATTGCCATGCAGTGCACTTCAGCATGGAAACAAGATGTCAGAGGAGTGACATGAAATGCTTTTCATATAAATGTAATTAAAGTTCTATTCAATGGAATTGCTGACAACCTGGATTTTTTTTTTTTTTTTGTCAATCTTGTCTGAGACCACTGTAACTCATGTTGTTTGTAAGTTAATTACTTATGTTGCATGCAGTGTAATTTATGTGTAAACAGTGGGACTCCACATGTTTCAATATTCTTACACATTGCTGCCTTGTTTAGAGTGGTGTTCCATCACAGTTTCCATCATCTGGCTTGGAGGGTCCAATGGGAAGACTTGCAGTTCAGGTCTGCAAAATACTTTTTTGAGTATTAAACCTCCAACTATCTGTTTTGTGGCAATAAGAATTTTTGATGTTTCTTTTGTCATAGCCATGATTGGTTAAAGGATGAATAGATAATGATATACATGTAGTGCAAAAGTGTTACCAAAGTCAAATAATCTTAACACATGCTTCACTGAGTTATCTAACAACAGCATCAACCATCCGACTTACGCTTTAGCACTCTTAGTAATTTATTGTTAATTAAAGTTTGGTCATGGTTTAATTTCCAGCAATCTGCCTGTCAGCCCATCAATCTTCTGGAACAAAGACACATTCTTCCGACAACTCCTCTTGAACAGCCAACACCTAACTTGCCGCAGGTGAGTTCATTTTCCCTTTATTTCTTGTATATATACATGTAGATAACCAACTGGATGCATTATTCAGGGTCTGTGTCTTGTTGTCTTGTGCCTTTTTTGTTTTTGTTTTGTCATTGCAATGACTCTGAACTTGCAACAAATACAATTCAGAACACAAATTAGACACACACCAGGACATAAATTAAAACTGTAGGTTGCCCATGGTCTTGCGGTGTGGTCTGTCAAAAATTGTTTATTATTAAATTCACTGGATTTAAAGGTAAAGTGTAATTAAAAGTGGAAATCAATTTAAACTGTTTAAACGTTTTTGTCTGGCAATATTTTGAAGAAGCCCAAGGAAAATTTTAACTTATTCTTTGTTTGCCTGAAATCTCTTAGTGATGATGATTTAATCATTAATGTTACTTTTTCAATTTCAGGATCTTCGCAAAAAGAGCTGTGATTCAAGGTTATTATTGAAATAAATTTATGTGGCTATAAAATACTCTGAATTTCCATTACTATAAAAGATAACTTGTTACATCTTGTATATTTATTATAATCAGCTTAGACCAATGATGTCCCCCTTCTACTGAATGGTTTTAATGTAATTATACCTGTTTGGTGTGTTATTGGTACCACAACAATATATCTTTACAGGGCTAAAAAAAAGACTAGGATTCCAGCTTCCCCTCTGGACAAACAGCCCTCAAGTCTTAGTTTACTTTTGATTTCATTCAGTTGGCAGACAATTTGCTTTGGCTCGTGCCCAATGGGCAAGTGAGAATAACTTGTCCCAGATGACTCGGTAACACTTTCTCTGAGTCCAGCTTTATTTCTCATAATACTAATGCTAAGTACAGTAAAAGTATATTTAGTTACTGTTTACAATGAGACTGAAAGCCAATGAACCATAAGGCTCAAGCGGAAGTGTTACTGCATAGATTGTCATGGATTTTCTTGTTTTCTTTTCAGTGTGTTGTGTTGTACCCTGAATGCTGTCCCTGAAACTAAGAGTCTGCTGACAAAATCAAAACTTCCACTAGGAATTCACCTTCATCCTTTTAAAGATTTACAGGCAAGTTACAAACTGTGAAACCCTAGCAGTTGTCTTTCTGGATTTTCTTCAAGCTGGTTTCAGGGCTCAAAAAAGCTTGAACTGCAGCTTGCCCTTGAAACAAGCAGCTCTCAAATTTTGCTTGCCTTGGAAGAGTCGTAGTTTAATGTTTTTTTGGATTTAGTTAGCAGACAACTTGTCTGAGCCCTTGCCCATCAGGCAAGTGGGAATGAAAAGTCACTTGCCTGAAGGGAAAATCTACTTGTCCCGGACAATCAGACAGCACTTTTTTTGAGGTTCTGGTTACTTAAGTGGTGAGGAGACAGTGGCTGAGTGATGGCAGTACTGATCTTGATGTTTGGGGGTGTCAGGTTCAATTGCTCTGTCTTGTCACTGGCAGATGTGTTCTTCATGTTCTGAAGTCCAACTCGTCATCCATGTTATGTCAATAGCCTACTCGCTAGCCTTGTATTAGTTAGCATTTCTAAATGTTGTATCCTGAAAAGATCGTACACCTTGCATCCTCTGTCTTCAGCCTTGCTTCACAAAAATTGAAGTCATCTTTGTCTGTATAATTAATGAGGATTGTGGTGTCCAATGATTGAATGCAGCACCACAATTGTTGTGGCCCTGGTTCAACAAGTAATGTCAGTGGAACTAACATTGCTGTTTCTTCCACAGAATCTTCCAGTTATTCACTCTTCAGTCATTACAAGATGCCGTTCCTGCAGAACATATATCAATCCCTTTGTCACCTTCACCGACTCAAGAAGATGGCGATGTCCAATGTGTTTCAGAGTAAATGAAGGTATGCACTGTAATTTTCTTTCGGTAAGTGTATGGATATCTGAAATTGTTTTCAAGTAAGTCGTGAGTGTCCCTCCTTTCTCTGTGTTTAACGTCCATTTTTTTTCGTTTTAGTTCCAGAAGAATTCTGTTTTGATCCTGTAACAAGACAGTATGGTGATCCAGCAAAAAGACCAGAAGTTAGGAATGCAACAGTGGAATTTATAGCACCTTCAGAGTATATGGTAATCAGTCTTTACTGATCTAAGTCTGAATTTCTTGAGTCTTCCAATTACATGTAATGTCTGCAGTGGCTTAATTCATTAAGCCCAGCTCACTAACCCATTAGTGTAAACAAAGGAATGATAACCTTTGTAGGTGGATGTATCTAGAGCTGTTCAACTTTAGTTATCTCCATTTTGAGGACAGTTGAGATTTGGTCCAGAGGATTACAATGCCATCTCAATTCATTTTCATTCAATTTTCTTTTTACCGAACCACAAGTACAGTGTAATGATAAGGCAGTGGAAAATTAATAATATTAGCAATGATATTTGTTTTTATTTTGTTTTCAGTTAAGGCCTCCTCAACCAGCAATCTTCTTGTTTGTTTTGGATGTTTCTTTTAATGCAGTAGAAACTGGTAGGAATTTTGTTTTTTGGGCACATGAATTTGAACCAGATGTTCTGGTGTAACCTACCCTTGAGCAGATGCTACCCTCTTGAATTCTAATTTGTCAGATTTGCATTAAGTGTCAACCATGCCAAAAGTGTTCATTTCATGTGATAAAATCAAATTGCATGGTGAAGCTGTTTAATTTGTCAGTGTGGTCCTGTAAACCCTGTATAATCTTTTGAAGGTGTTAAAAAGCTGAGTGTGTTATTCATTGTTGGAATAATATACTGTCAATAATTGAGTTCAGCAGTGTATTTTTGGACCTGGTGCCACCCAACCTTGACAAGTAATATCGTATGGTGTGATTGTGGGTGATGCCCCTGTAGATAATATTGTGTGTTCATTTTTCCAGGTTACCTTCATTTGGTGTGTAAATTACTGAAGGAAAACTTAGAGAAAATGCCAGGAGACTTAAGGACATTAATTGGGTTTATAACATTTGATAGTACAGTGCACTTTTACAGTTTAAAAGTGAGTAACTAGTATGTCTGGTCATTCACAATGTATTAAAATATAAGATATTTGCCTCGAAAATCACAGGACCTCTTACTGTAGCCAACCATCATCTAGATGAAATACCACTTTCATGGCAGCTACTCCACTGCACCCAGTTATGATCCTCCATGACTAAGCAACAATATTGATGTAAACTAAGAACCAATAAATCCTGTAGACCATTTTAAAAAATCCATGTGTCTGAATTGCAATTATGGTGTTTAGTGAAAAGAAGCTCTTGCTCCTGAGTCTGTCATGAGCTTGAAAGAGATGGCTACTGCAAAGAGACGCAGTGTGCAGGCATTGTGAATGCCTTCAGACTTCCAGGGTTGACCGTTCTCATTTATTTAGGGGGTAGAGGGCCACCAGTGGTTTCATGAAGTAGATGGCTGACATCAATTTGAGTGTTGAACGGACAAACCTCTAGGAAGGTCTGGGGGTATGCTCCCTCAGAAAAGTTTTGAAATTGAGAGGCTCTGAAATGCTATGTTACACATAATATTTTTTGGAGTTTATTTCCTTAAAAAAAAATCAGTTTTCGAAAAGGTCCAAATGCTAAGACTTGTTTTCAATTTTACCCAATAGCCCTAGCGTAACTGAAAACACACACCATACCCTGACCACATGCCCCCTCTTTTGCTACAGCCTTGACTGCCTTGAGACAAAGACAGACAAGGTTCAGCCACATTTCAAACAACCTGTGTTTTCCTTAAACTACTCTTTACAATTTACACTCATATTATTGCATCAATAGTAGGCAGTTAAGAAATGGAAGTAGCCATTTTTTAGCCAGCTGCCAGCACTTAATGAGAACCCTGGCCTTATCTTATTCTTACAAAATTATGTTGTTGTTGTTGTTTTTCATTTAGTCAAAGCTCAGTCAACCTCAGATGAATATTGTTTCAGATTTAGAAGGTAAGCTCAAATGTTTAAAACACTACTAAACCAGAAAGTTAATACATCTTGTCTTCTGTATGTGCAAGTTGATGTACACAGCAGCTGCTGCTAAAGAGTTGATTTATTTGTTTTGCTTTGTGCTTTTTTTGCATCTTCATAAATAATTGTCTATTTTGTGTCTTTTAGATATTTTTCTTCCATCTCCTGATGACTTGCTTGTAAATTTGAACGAAAGTAAAGAGGTACGTGTAAATGGACTACTATACATGTTATTCTCTTGCAACATATGGTGAGGCACCCAGGTGTACAAATGGGTACCAGCTAATAAAATGTGGGAGGGGAGTATCCCTGCAATGGACTAGCATTCCTTCCAGGGGGAGTAGAAATATGCCCAGTCACTCCATGCTATGTAAACCATGTTAGGCCAAGGTGGGATGGGCCACTTGGCTTGATGCAGACTTTACCTTTAACAGACTTAACTTATATAATAATGAAATGGCTTGTTACCCTAGCATTAATAAGTAAGAACATTACCTTCATTGTGTAAGAATACAAGAACGTGGACTATGGAAAACAACTAGACTCATTATTTATTACTCATAAACAGTATTTTTTTTTTTTTTAAATTGATGTATTCCTGACTGCAATTTTTAACACAAACTGTGCACTTGTTTGCCTTGACAGATGTAACATATTTGTTTGTTTTGTTTTTAGCTTGTAATTCAACTACTGGACTCTTTGCCGACCATGTTCAACAACAGTCATAATGTATACAGTGCCACAGGAGCAGCTCTGCAAGCAGCCCTTAAATTAATTGTGAGTAGATTTTTGTTAACATTATCAATGCTATTACTAGGGCCTTATGCAAATGACAGTGGAGGTGTGGTGGCCTCATGGTCCTCATGGTTAGTGCGCTCGCCTCCAGATCAAGTGGCCGAAGATATTGTGTTCATTCACAAGATACTTAACTTTCACAGTGCCTCTCTCCACCTAGGTGTATAAATGGGCACCGGTGCAACTTAATACTGGGGGTAACCCTGCGATGGTCTTGCATCCCATCCAGGGAGGAGTAGAAATACTCCTAGATGCTTAATGCTACTGAAACTGTAGACTGTGGATAAGCGCTGGCTTGATGGACCACTTGGCTTGTATGCAGTATCAAGCTATGCAAATGACAGGCTATAGTCATGGAGGGCAGGTTCTGCATGACTGTCACCCATTTAGGGTAGTCATTGAAATTATGGATTTGACTTTTTATAGGGTCACATAGGTGGTCGTGTGACACTTTTCCAGACAGCGCTGCCTAATATTGGTCCAGGAGAGCTAAAAAAGAGAGAGGATGGACAAAAGTCATCTCCAAAGGTTGGTACTGTCCAAACAAAATAATAAATTACACTAAGCTGAATTGTATGACTACTGTTTCCATTTATCTCGCCCTATTTCTGCCACTTTGCAAAAGAGGTTTTGAGAGGGATAGCACCCTAACCTAAAAATATCTTTTATTACATTACTAGCTCTGTGAGCAGAAATCCTGTGCTGTGACTGGCTACTCCAATGGGCAAGATGGTGTTTTCTTTCCCTCCCAAGATTGCCGGCTGTGTCTTGCAAGAAATTAGTTTTCTTTTTCCATTTAAGTCCTTTATTGACCAAACTTGTTCACTCAAGATGGCTGGATATTGGCCTCATTCTTTTTTAGCGTGTTTATGGTCCTTGACTACATCTTGGTCCATAGACATGCAAAAATAGAACATGGCCAATTTCCAGCCATCTTGACTTACGTTTGGTCAATAACCCATATATGTTGGCTATGTAACCTTTAAGACATTTGCACTGTGTCTAGCATGTTTGTATTTTTGTTTTGTTTAGGATGTCCAGAACTTAACACCAGCTACAGATTTCTACAAAAAGTTTGCACTGGACTGTGCAGCTGAACAAGTTGCTGTTGATTTGTTTTTACTGTCAGGACAGTATTCTGATATTGCAACTCTGAGTAAGTCTCTTAAGTGTCAGAAATCACTATCACTCCTGCATGCACCACAGTGGATTTTGGGCAGTTTTCTGTAATTTGTAAGGAAGTGCTTCTCAGTAGCTTTCATTTAGATGATCAGTCATTATAATTAAATCTAATGACACAATGAGATAACTGCCTTGTGCACCTTAATAAACAGTAAATACTACTCGCTAGCTTCTATTTGAGTGGTTACACTTTGGGGTTTCATCCACAGACTGTAAATTTGGAATCACCTTGTCCAGCTTAATAAACAGAACTGCATGAAATTCTGCTCAACTGCTTCATTTGAATGGTCATACACAATAGTTTTACCCACTGATGCAAAGGAAGAACTACCTTGCACTAATAAACAGTACAACATGAAAATGCTGCCCGATAGCTTTCTTTCAGGATCTCATGTAAAACGACCGGCAAAGTCAAGTGTAATTTCAAGCTAATTTGTTTTAATGGTCTTCGTCTTTGTTTATTTTAGTGTGTGCCTCAAAGTACTCTGGTGGATCTGTAATGTATTACCCAGACTTTCACGTCTCACGGAATGCTGCAGCAGCAGAGAAATTTGAAAATGAATTTGTGTAAGTACATTGTGTGTCGTGCTGGCGGGTATGTTGATGCCAGGAAAGTAAATAAGATACGCTTAATGACTGGTCCCTTAGGAAACAGTTAGTTTTGTTTTCCGAAAAATCTCGTTTTTCCCGGGAAACGTCGAGATATGAGTGAAAACCAAACTATTTCCCAAGGAGCCAGTAATTAAGTGTTTTGTTACGTAACTGGAGTTTTGTGTAAAATAAAAAAAAGCAGGAAGAATTACCCCCAAGTCAAAGTAACCTCTGGTAAGTGCGAGAGCAGGTGACAATTGCTTAATTGTTGCCCACTGGGCTACATTTTAGATTTAGCCATTGTCACATGAGGATAAATTAACCAATAAGAGCGCTTGTTAGATTAAACTAAACTCCAGCTATATTACAAAAGACTTCGTTCCTTTTGCAGGCGCTATCTTACAAGAAAGATCGGATTTGAAGCTGTTATGAGAGTCCGCTGTACAAAAGGTGAGATTCTACAAAAGTCATTATGATAAATCTACTGCTTTGATTGCACAGAAGTTAGAAAGCAGGAATTATTTTAAGCCAGTACTTGTTAATAGCATTAGTATTCTAGACTGGGAGGTTAATGAAGAAACTGCCATATTGATTTATTTACCGTTTTTCATCAGGGCTTTCAATCCACACTTTTCATGGGAATTTCTTTGTACGCTCTACGGACCTAGTTTCTTTGCCCAATGTCGGTCCTGACAGTGGATTCAGTATGCAGATTGATATTGAAGACTCGCTGACAGACTCCAACCTGGCTGTGTTTCAGTCTGCTCTTCTCTATACAAGCACCAAAGGTAATGTGAGATTCACTGCAATCAGTGCCTTGATTAGCGAAGTAGACCATTTGAAACCAGCTTTCAGTGAAGGTTGAAGGAAAGTGCAATCTCCCTTTCTCGTTACCCTAGAGCGACTTTGAACGTTCTACAAGTTTGTACTTCGTTGTGCGATTAGATTTTGTTTTTTGTTTATTTTGTATTTATTACGTTTTCCTTGTTAGGCACTGTATTGTGTCAGATTCTTGTATTTTATTGTTATGAGAATTTATAGCATTCTGTTTCTTGTGTGTATTTTGGTGTAATAACTCATTATTTTGACTCGGGTACAACTGTATTTTGCAGGGGAGCGGCGTATTCGAGTGCACACACTTGCTCTTCCAATCACAAACAAGCTGGCTGATTTATATGCTACAGCTGATGTACAGGCCATTACAACACTACTAACCAAGATGGGTAAGTCGTACATTGATAGATCAACGGCACTAGCTTTTCAGTCAACCGTCAGGAGAGAACTTCACCACCCTAACTTTTGCTATATACCGTTTTCGTTTTGCTTTGGGCGTACAATGAGCTTATGGATTTGTCGTCTTGTTACATTACGATATGATTAAAATAAATTGTTCTATGTGGGGATGAAATGTAATTTTCCTATTTGGCACTTCAACTTTTAACTTGATTTGGATTTGTACTACCCTTTTATGAGAAATCACTACCTCAGTGAGTGTTTTGTTTTCTTCTTCATCGCCAGCTGTTGACAGAACGCTGACGTCTTCTTTAGGAGATGCCCGAGAAGTAAGTACTATATAAAAAACGAATTACACGATAAAAGACTCTTGTACCTAAACGCGTAATCTTAGTCACAATCAAGTAGAACCGGCCACTTCGGTGGAAAAAGCGGCGATAGCCCGATCACAATCACAACGTGTAGCCAGTGCCAAGCGCGGGAAAACCTGGAACCAGTATCAAGCGCGAGAAAACCTGTAACCGGTGCCATGCGCGGGAAAACCTGTAACCAGTATCAAGCGCGAGAAAACCTGTAACCAGTGCCAATCGCGGGAAAACCTGTAACCAGTATCAAGCGCGAGAAAACCTGTAACCAGTGCCAAGCGCGGGAAAACCTGTAACCAGTATCAAGCGCGAGAAAACCTGTAACCAGTGCCAAGCGCGGGAAAACCTGTAACAAGTATTAAGTGCGGTAATACGTGTAACTAGTGCCAAGCGCGGGTAACCATGTAACCATGGGAACCGCGGGAAAACATGTGACTGACGGTAAACCCAGGAAAGGTTACTAACTTGCTGATTGGCCAGAAAAGTTCTGTTTTGATTGAAGCAATGCAAACACAAAAGCCAGTACAAAATTTATTTCACGGTCATTTCTTCAATAACTTTTGAATAATTTTATCTCATGTAAGGAGGTCCCTTTCTGTATAATGTTTCAGCACGATTGATCTTTACAGATGCGTTGTACATGTAATGTTGTGTTTGTTGTACCAGGCTCTGATGAACGCGTGTATTGATACACTGAGTGTTTACCGTACATCGGTGGCAAATCAACCTCAGAGCAGCGGACTTATTGCTCCTCATTCCCTAAGATTACTACCGCTCTTCATTCTTGCCATCATGAAGCATGTAAGTATGACATTATTCGAACAAGAAAACTTTTGCTTGTGCTTTTTAGATTAGCTATTCCACTCGCCCATGTGTTCCAGTCATGCGAACCTGCCGTCACAACAGCCACTGGACCCATTCTCCTCGGCCCTCTTTGCCCGTCTCTCCCTTTTTCTTGCCTTATGACCCAATCGGAGCCTGTTCACAGGCTAAATTACTAGCGGTTGTGCCCGCTATTTATCTGCCATTCGATAACATTTTAAAATAACTCGATCCACTATTCATTCAATCCATCATTCCTCAGGAAAGCGACTATTTCTGAAGTTTACACTCAAATGGTGCTTCTAAGCAATTGTAGTTTTTAAGTTCGCTGAAACGTTTCGTTTGATTTACAGATGGCGTTTCGTCTCGGCTCAAGCACGCGCTTGGACGAGCGATGTTTTGCGATGCAGCAGTTTAAAGTTATGCCTCTTGGTCTGGCTATGCTGTCCATATACCCAAAGATGTACCCGATACACGAGCTCTCGGATGAGGTATGTCCAAAGTAACAAATCCTCACGAATAGCACCAGTGTTACGAATGTTGTGACGTCGGTCTGATGTCATTAGAATACGTCATGTTGCTTAGCAATGCCTTAGCCGAAATTTGCGGGCTCAGATAGTGCTCAGAGACCGTTTGAAATCACGGTGTTAATAGAGGAAAGCAAAATCAGCTGGACTTCTTGTGCGTTGATCGAATTGTGGAGTAAGAATTACTGGAGCACCTGCTTCCCTTTCTCCCCTGCAAGCCTCTGTCGCGCACCACCTTTAACCCTCTCCCCCCTGCCCCAGAAGAAAATAGGTTCTTGTTCACTTCTGTGAACACAATGACATTTTCTCCTTTCCAGGGTGCTCTCCACACCAAAGCAGGCCCGGTTCCAAATCCTCCAATTTACCACCTATCGGGTGAGAAACTGAGCAGGAAAGGAATATACCTCATGGATACCGGTCACGTGAGTACGAGAAGGTGTTTGATAAGATACAAAGGGTGCTTCTAGTTATTATATGTAGCTTTGTGTGGAGAAGAACGAGCTACAGCCGATGGAGTTACTCTGATGAAAGACCATCACACAAAACGCCAGCTTTTGAAATACAATATGGCGGATTGCATATCTGAGAGTCAGTTACGACACAATTGACTATCTGCAAAGCAGCATTCAGAGTTGAAGAAATCTAGGAAAAGTCACCTTCCAATAAAGAACAGCAGCTTCAATAGCTTATCTTGTGCTATGTTTTTAGTTTGCCATTACCAGCTGATCAGCGACGGCATTACTGAGTCATTCCCTGTGATGTGCAACTGAAATTTTAAATCATTTTTCAATTAGAAGGAAAACTTTAACAATTTAGAATTCACTGGGTAAAAAGATAAAAAGAAAACGCCTTAGAGGTATAAACCAAGTCGAAATAAGGATAGATAATAAATGAGACAGATTATGACGATTTATACGACATGTGTGACCAAACTGGAAAGCAGGTTTTGTATTTTGTTTCATATTTATTACTTGTCTTTTTTGTATAGGCTTTCTATATTTGGGTTGGACGTGACGCACCCATCGATGTTATTCAAGCGTATTTCAACGTGCCTAACTTTGGCAGTATTCCCGAAAACTTGGTAAGAAATTGTCGAACATTTGATTATACACACTGAAACGAAACATACGAAAGGTGACAGTTATTTCATTGCTGTTTCAGGGATCGCTTCCAGTGTTGGAAAATCCACATTCAGAGAGAGTGAGGACGTTTGTGGATTACTTACAGTCACAGAGAACGTGCCATGCTAACATTTATGTTCTAAAGTAAGTAGCACCTTAGATATTCTTGTGATCAGTAGAGAAAGATATAAACTTAATGTTGTTTGAATCGCTAGCAGGCATGTGCTTGGAATATATTCTGTACCCCTGATTTTAGCTTTAAAATTGTAAGAACTTTAACTAAATGATAGAGAACAATTTTCCTATGTATATACATCTACATTTGATTTCGTCGGTTAAGTCGTTACGCATCACACCACCGTTAAAAATATTACAAAAAGTTGATATGTAAGAAAACGTTTGTTGCTAAAAGATCGTGGAGTCCAACAAAAATTTGATAGTCGCATTTTTAAGTTGGTTGTCTTGGGGTCCATATTATTTTTGGGTATTTTCTTATCCAGCTATGATTTCTGCCTCCGTTTTCAAGTTCGTTCCTATATTTTACCCTCAAGTTTCGCAATTGTCTAGATCTGTTCAAAACGCCTATCGATCTTCGATCTCAAGACTTGCTTAAGCTAAGTATGTAATGCGGCACTATTGCCAGCGTTCAGTTCCAAATAAAAATACGAAATATTAGCTTCTGGCGTTCGCGTTCTCCAAAATACACAGAACTTGGTTATTTCACGTTGTTGTTTTGCAGAGGACGGCTAAGAAATGTTTCAATATTTATAACGCACGTGCACAGCCATTGTTCTGCTCATTAAACCTTTTGTTTGGTGACGTTTTCGTTGCTGTTGCCGTCGTGGTTTACTTAAGTTTGCTAAAACTGTACTAAGTTGTGTGTTTTTTTATTTGCAGGGAAGACAGTCGCATGAGGATGTTGTTTCTTCAAAACCTTGTGGATGATCGCTCAGAATCGGTCATGTCCTACTACGAGTTTCTCGTCCACCTTCAAAAGCAGATTTCCAAGTGAGCTTCTTATTTGATGACCGTGATACGGTAGATTATTCAGACAATGCGGAAAATGATACATGGGATAATATCGCACGAGCTAAAGATCCTGCGCGTCATGGAAGATTCCAAGACGGTCTTTTTAAAGAAATGTTCAGCTTGGAGACTGAAATCACAAGCGAATCCTACCATGAAAGAATTAGTGGCAGAGATTTTAATCATAAATGGCACAACAAAAGAGTTAAAGGGAGGAACAGGGAACGTAAACGGCGTTATGTGAATCATATCCATGGGGGACCCCGGGCCGTCTATCGCCCGCTTCCCCCGCCATTGATCTCTTTCCCCGGGTTCCCAGGGATAAAAGACTACTGCAGGCAGAAGACAGGATGAAGAAAGAGGCAAAATAAAACTTATAACAAGAAAATTAGGAAAGCGTGCTGGACCTTTTGTATTTCATAATTAAAACAAGTCGAAAGATGCCCTGCAATTGTTACAAAGACGCAAGGTTGGACACTGATTTCGTTTTACATGTGGTACAGTTTGTTAGGTCGCTGTTGCATGTGTATGGAACGTTACAGTGTCCAGTTTGGTTATAGCGACCGGCTAGGTTATTTTTCATTTTCGGCGAAGATTATATTTAGAACAATACATTTTTTTATTATATTTTGGAGAAGCGCTATTGAATGATTGTTTATAAAAATTTTCATTTGATAGGATTTAATAGGGCAATATGTTTTGCACAAGGTTTTTGGGTGTTACTCACACAATTTCCTCCCTGAATAAAGTACTCCTAACTTAATTAATTTGAATCTGTTTTACGTCTCGATATTTTCCTTTCTTTCACATGATTGACTAGTGTCCTTCGCGGGAGGGAGGTCACGCAACGTTCCCCTGTTTCTTTGGGGAAGGCCTTGCGTAACATCGCAAATAACGGCTGAGTAGGAGACTAATGATTGATCAACTACCAGATTCTTGTAACTTTGTAGCAAATCACACAAAAAAAGATCAAATAAGAACAAGGCTCTGATTCAAAACTAAATCCTGCAAAAAAGCATAAAAAATGTAAGGATTATTTAACGGCAGTTACGATGTTGGTCTTAGAAATGGAGGATCAAATTCATTAGGAAGCAAGGGGCAACTTAAAACGTGAGCNCATGATTGACTAGTGTCCTTCGCGGGAGGGAGGTCACGCAACGTTCCCCTGTTTCTTTGGGGGAGGCCTTGCGTAACATCGCAAATAACGGCTGAGTAGGAGACTAATGATTGATCAACTCCCAGATTCTTGTAACTTTGTAGCAAATCACACACAAAAAAAGATCAAATAAGAACGAATGTTCTGATTCGAAACTAAATCCTGCAAAAAAGCATAAAAAATGTAAGGATTATATAACGGCAGTTACGATGTTGGTCTTAGAAATGGAGGATCAAATTCAGTAGGAAGCAAGGGGCAACTTAAAACGTGAGCCAAATTCTGTTTTTCTTCACCCTCGGTTAACTACACAGTACACCATTGTAACTGAAATCGTTTGAATCTTGTAAGTGTTTTTAGTAGGACAATGAACAAAAATTAAGGTTTTCCCCTTTCTGCCTCCCTTCACTCAAGTATTCTTGCCTGCGGCTCATGTCCCATATTTCTCGTTCTCCCGAACTTTCACTCGTGATTCTACTCATGAGTGTTTTCTGTTTCTTAATTATGTGTAGACGCTACCCGCCAGAAAAAAAAATGCTCTGGCTATGAGGGCCTTATATCTTGAGGACAGGTCCCGTTCTTAATTTAACCCAAACTATCTTTGTACCTTATGTTAATTTCAACCTCGTTCGCCGGATTTTATTCTTTCGCGCGTTTGGCATTCACCTGCGAAAATTAGCAAACTGGGGAAAAATCAAGGCCAAGGGAAAACGCAAGAAATCAGTCTAAAATTTATGTTTTATTTTCCCATGTCGGATCATACGAGAACAGATCTCTATTATTGGCACCCGGCACCCTTGATTACAATTCCTAATATCTAAGTAGTTTTCGCCACATTTCAGCGAAACTAAANTGTCCTTCGCGGGAGGGAGGTCACGCAACGTTCCCCTGTTTCTTTGGGGAAGGCCTTGCGTAACATCGCAAATAACGGCTGAGTAGGAGACTAATGATTGATCAACTACCAGATTCTTGTAACTTTGTAGCAAATCACACAAAAAAAGATCAAATAAGAACAAGGCTCTGATTCAAAACTAAATCCTGCAAAAAAGCATAAAAAATGTAAGGATTATTTAACGGCAGTTACGATGTTGGTCTTAGAAATGGAGGATCAAATTCATTAGGAAGCAAGGGGCAACTTAAAACGTGAGCTAAATTCTGTTTTTCTTCACCCTCAGCTAACTATACAGTACACCATTGTAACTTGAATCGTTTGAATCTTGTAAGTGTTTTTAGTAGGGCACTGAACAAAAATTAAAGTTTTGCCCTTTCTACCTCCCTTCACTCAAGTATTCTTGCCTGCGGCTCATGTCCCATATTTCTCGTTCTCCCGAACTTCTACTCGTGATTCTACTCATGAAGAGTGTTTTCTGTTTCTTAACTATGTGTAGACGCTACCAGAAAAAAAAAATGCTCTGGCTATGAGGGCCTTATATCTTGAGGACAGGTCCCGTTCTTAATTTAACCCAAACTATCTTTGTACCTTATGTTAATTTCAACCTCGTTCGTCAGATTTTATTCTTTTGCGCGTTTGACATTCACCTGAGAAAATTGGCAAACTTGGGGAAAATCAAGGCCAAGAGAGAACACAAGAAATTAGTTCAAAATTTTTGTTTTATTTTCCCACGTCAGATCATACGGGAACAGATCTCTATTATTGTCGGCGTCCTTGATTACAATTCCTAATATCTAAGTAGTTTTCGCCACATTTCAGCGAAACTAAAGCTACATGCATATCGCCGTTATAAAGTCAGTCACTCTTCTAAACTGGACCAAGAGTCGATCGGTTGAACTCAGCGCAGACCGATACTAATAAGCCTGTTGCTCGGGATGTTTGGGTGGTGGCCGTTAGTGTTGAAGGCCACGCCCCTGTAGCCTGCATTAGTCGACGCTGTACGGAAGTAGGGCGAGGCTCTATCACCGCACCAGTTGTTACATCGCTTGTAACAGTTACTCGTATAACCGGAAATAAAGAAGCCCGAATAGAACGAATCATCGCAGATCAACAGTTGGTAGGAGTAAGCGTTGCTTGCTCCGACGCCATGCCATAGTCCAGCAGCTGCAGCATTCCCGTAGTTCACCGCGGCTGTTATGGGGAAGTTGGTTTGCCGCTTGAAGTAGACTTTAGCTCCAGTTTGGTGATCAACGAAGATGATTTCTGTGAACTGTAAAAAAATCGACGAGAAAGTCAATATAAAGCATTAGTTGTATAGCCCATGGGCATTCGCATAACTTACCTGATTCGTTAAACACGGGAGGGTAATGATACCACTTTTTATCTACTGGGAATTGCTTTTATTTTTATCAAAACAACCTATCAGAGCCTCAGGCGTTGCAGACGGAAATTTCTCGTTGCGTCTACGACGCAGGCTAACCCATCATTGAACATTAGTAAGTCGACTCACTGGGATATTGTTACAGTTGGTCCTGTAGCCGTCACTTCCATAAGGAAACTGAGCGCTGTATGTGACTTCAGTCTTGGGTTTGACATGTTCATCAGTAGTGTAACACATGGTCCATCCTCCATTGTATGACGTCATGTCACAGTAGGCCAGGAATGCATTTGAATGACTTCCTGCATCCGGGTCCAACCAGTACAATCCATCTGCTTGAAACTGTCCTCTGTTCTTAATATCCTTGCAGTCAATTCCTAGAAATTAGTAGCTAAATCATGGATCAATAAAACAAGTTTTTGGCAAACACGCGACAACTGTGTTGAGTGGGCTTTTATTATTTCCTCTTTATCTGCTGATTTGAAAAGAAAACGAGGATTAAATCAATCAACTACAAAGGAGATAATGAGGGCCGGCTAAGCCTTTTTCCCAAGGTTGCCTGTCTAAGTTATTTTAGACATGGTACTCAGTTCTTCCGCTGACCTGCTTTCTCGCGAGAGTTTTGCGCCGTCATTTCGTCAGACAATCGTACCCAGGACTTTCCATCGCAGAATTCTAAATGGTGATTCACCATGCGCAGCAATCCCTTGTGGTCCGAGTCGCATCTGGCAGTAGATTCCTGTTCACCAGTGCCCTGTGATTAACGCATCAGAGACGGAAATCTTAGCAATTAAAAAGCTAGAACAGAATTTTATAGTGCTTTTATAAACTTCTGGCCAGAGTTGTAAGAGGAACGAAGATGTTCGGCGTACGTCGCTCGCGCTCGCGACTTTGTCGCTCGTTAGCCTCTTGCTTCGCTCGGAAGGATTAAGAAAAGGTCGACATGTTGTGGCAAGTTTAGGCGTAGGCCAAATTGTTTTGATGCACTGTACGCAGCAAAAAGTGACCTGTTAGGTCATTTCAGAAATTGTTCGATACGAATCTCAGTAATTGAAGTGTGACCGCAGGCTTTTTGTAGCTCGAAATTACTTGATATATACGTAGCCTCGACCTGCCGCTCCCTACAATGACTGGCTGATGGGCAGGCGTTCACTGCTCTACTAAGCCGAACACTAAGAACAAAAAGGAGAAAGATTTTCCGTCGCAGTCTGTTTTGAATGACAAGAAATTTAAAAAGAAAATGGATTGAAGAATCACTTTTTCCTAAAGTGAACACCAACATCCGAGTAGTTCTAAAGCACGGTCGGTTTTTCGCCTCTAAGTCTCAGAAAATCTCCACGTACCAAATAGTTTAGTGAGTGATTCCATGATTGACACACTAACTACTAGGCCAGGGTAATTCCGCAAATGCTTGTTCCTTTGAAAATTTTTGTATTTTTACAACAGGAACCACACATACCTGACTCTTCTCAAGCTTGACTTCACCGAGCTTTAGCGACTGGCCATTGCCCTCAAAAAGAACGCTCACCGGACCGCAAACTGCACCTCTGCTTAGGGAAGTAAGAAAGGATTGATATATCTAAATTAAAAGAAAATTGATTACCGAAAGAAGCTTCGTGTTAAACAGGTATGTCTTCAATGTTCTTACTTAAGGGTCACAGTTGCCAAGAGAATGACGAAAGGTAACTTCAGAAGCATTATTCTGGGTGAATCTCGATAGAATATCTTAATGCTGTTTGCGCGTGCTTGTGTTAATGTGTATATCTTCGAAGGAATACTTATCCGCTTCCTAATACAGAGCCTAGAAGGGTTAAATATGGAGTATGGAAAACTTAAACGATAGTCTTTGATCGAAAACAAATCGATTAACAGTGAACACTTTATTTTTTTCAATTTATCACAATAGTTCAACTTGTTTGTTAAACGTGTTCGGAAGATCACGTGATCAAAGAGAACACGCGAAAATGACATTATTCATTTCTGCAATGTACTTTTCCGTCGAAAGATGAATGTTTGGCGAGCTACTAAGTTAAAAAGTCGCCGAGTTTATTGCAAACGTAAGGACGATCGAAGGTCATCGAACGATACTCTGACTGTATACCTTCTTCGGTGTAATTTTTTCTGAGATGGACGCACTTCTCTCTCGTCCTCACTCGGCTGTGTAAAATTTACATAATTTTTTGTATTTTGCTTATGTTAGCGACACAATTCAGAAATAACACTGAGACGCTGTTTGTTCTATTTGATGGCCTTCGCCAGACATTTGAAGCTAAGGTTTCCATATAGATGATGACTAACCTGGTCTAAAGACGTTATTAAACGGCAATCGGAGAGTTAAAATTATTCACTGGTTCAACACATGGAAGTGAAGTTTTGGCCGAATCGTGAGAGTGGACGGCACTTCTGAGTATATCTTAAAATTTCTTTTAAACAAAGAGGTCGAATATGATCGAATCAGGCCGAAGAGCTGGCGGCAATCGTACTGTAATAATTGAGCAAGGCTGAAACTGTGACAGCGGAAAATATAGAATAAATCTTTTCGGCCCTGATCGATAGATGTTTCTGATCGATATTATTATCTAGGATCTAGACTCCGGATCCACCCACAACTGAAATAGACTACGAGTATTCCATCTTTCGCTTAGTCCGTCACCATGCAAATCTGATTCGACTCGGGCCTTGTCGTAATGGAACTGGTTCGCTCTCGGCTTCGCAAATAGAAAACAATTTTAGCCCGCACTATTTTACATTTACACATACACGTATCGCACCAAATATATCTATGAAATCATGCAGTTGAGGTCTGCTCATAGACACATATTTGTTTATACAAAACCCGTTCCGTCTACCGGACTACATAATTCTTTTCTGACTTCTGGTGATGTAATCTATTTTTTCAATCATCTCCAGTCCCTCGCTCTCCTTTTTTTCCGAGAGCCCAAGAAATCACCCATAGTAACGGGTGTCACAGTGATATGTGTATCCCCGNTTCGTTGAATGCCCAGGCGCGTATCAGTGTTTTGTGTATCCCCACAGGGGATACACATATCACTAGTGATATGAGTGCGGGGATACACATATCACGGGGATACACATATCACTGTGACACGGGGATTAGAATCCAACTCTTCTTCCTTTTTTTTTTTTTTTCAAAATGGCGGCAATTTTACAAGAGTCCCAGTCGGACTTCAAGACTGACTTTGCAGGTATTTTTCCGTATTATGATGAGTATCATGATTTTGAAAAGTAGAATAATAGCACTTCTGATGTGTGCTAGAAGAGATAGCGTTATTGATTAATTTAGGAAATAATGTGGAAGAAATTAGAACGTACGATAATTTATACGAGCACAAATATACCAGGGACTACATGCAACCAGCTTCCAGGCGATATCATTTGAGCTATATATGTAGATGTACAAAAAACCATCCATTAAAAGTTTATAATTGAGAGCATTACTTTCCCTTTAGCAGGGAAATGCCAACTTTGGCGTTTGGTTTCGTGGCAACTGCGGGAAGGGTGACTTGCGTACGTAAAGCCATGGAACTTCTTCAAATGCTAATTAATTCCCCGGGCTCCACCAATGGCCCTCAGCGGTACACCTGCAGTAAACACAAAGAGAATCTTTAAAAATAAATGACTTTATCTCCATATTTGTATCTGGGAGGCATTTATGGCTGCCAGGAAAGCCCAAAACACTTTGTTAATAAGTCGCTGCGCTCGAGCGAAGCGGATTTGGAGCTCCAATTTATTAAGTAGCATTGGCGACTTTGTATGAAGATGGCGGTCAGTTTAACAAGGCTTCTCGCTCTTTTCAGTGTCTTTTGTGTACTGGCAACAACAGCTGGGGCATCTGATATCGGAGAGTAAGTTTCGGCCTTAGTGAATGCAGCAAGCGTGAGAATTTTCAGGCGACGGAAAGATGTGAGGATTTTCTTTATGTTTAATTTGCAGCGTTAAGAATTGGGCGAGTAAGGTTGGAGAGAAGCTGTCCAAATTCTTCAAAGATGCTACCCATTACGAGAAACTTCAAGAGGTGAACGATGTTTGTATTTCTTCCCGTTGTTGCTCACGCTTTTTATATAACTGCTTCTGTATACTGTTAATAGCTAGCGGAAACAATGCGCGCTTCTTTACCAGTCGGTTCACGCGTCAAAAACATTTTCGCAATAATTTTCCTGTCCATGCATCTGTTTTAGGGCTACCAGTCGCCAAAATTATCGCTTACGAAGAAAAATGGAACCGCCATAGCGAACAAGATGAAACAGCAGCTGGAGAAAGTTTTGCGGGAGAAAATCGCGTCCATCAAGGTTTGTTTCCGTTGCATTCTGAGTAAATTGTTGTGAGTAAATATCTTTGGTGTAAAATATGTTATTTTTAGATTCTAATTTGTAGTATTCTTTTCATATGGGGATTTTTGGCGGCGCAATCCGGCGAATGTTCGGCCGTGCGGAAACAGTTGCCTGTATTTTTTTTTCCCCGTGATAAAGATGCAGTCAACCAAACTATAATTTTAACTTTTTGTGACGCTTCGACGAGAAAAGTAAAACCTTTGAGCGTTTGGCCTGAACTGACTGCATTTTCCAAATGGAAAGAAGGCCAAAGTAAAAAATTCTCGAATAGTTTGTCGTGTTTTCGAGCTTAGCGTTTCTTCAATACAAGATATCGTGTAGCTTGTTAAATTTTCATGAAGGTTGATGAGCATTTTTATATCTGGCTGACTTTGACATGAAAGACAAGCGAAAAATTAGACATTTTGCTTCCAGCTTTTTCATTCCGCTCGCAATAAAAATATATTCTTAGCGTTATTTAGCCTTATTTTTTATAGTGCAACCCTGGTTTCTCGTTATGTTTTGGGTAAATTATTTTCCTTGGTTATATTATGGATTTCACAGGTTTGCGAATGTAAACAAAATACACGTTAGTTGAAATTACTTGGTCGAGTAGTTGGTACGCAAATTGAGCCCGTATGCTGTGAATTACAAAATTCTTGGTCCTCATTTTATGGGTTTCGCGGAAAAATTTATTACCATCAGAGAATATTGGTCAGTAAGATTTCATGAGTACAATTATTGTGAAATGAAAATAAAGAGCGAAGAGGACATCTTATGATGATTGAAATTTCTTTTATGCATAATTTTTGAGTTCCTAATTGATGATCCTGTGGAGCCGAAAGAGGTCGCGTTTTAACGAGAGAATCAATAAAAAACTGACAGATTAGCCTGTAATTCAAACAGCAATAAGAGTTTCTTGTATTTTGTTATTAAGAGAAACGAAATAGTAGCAGTCCGCGCAATCAATTCCCGTTTGAATTTCTGTGAATTTTCAATTTCATTCATTTAATTGTCAAGTTGCCATTCTGCAATTATTTATTTTTGTTGGAAATTGGGCAACATTGTGCAAGTGGTGATTAATTTGCTGTGGGGGTACAGTTAGTAATTTCTCGGAATAATTTACAATTATGACTGACGTATACACCTGTGACATGTCTTGTCAAGGATTTCAGGGCTTATTGCAAGCGAATAATGCTTTCTATTCAAATTGTTAAATGTTCAATCTATAAACTTCCTGGGAGGGGTACTTCATATATAAGCTATGTGAGAAGTGCTGTTGTGTTAAGGGTATGGTTTCCTGACACTTGGGTAGGGTATAGAAATCAGACAGTTTTGGTCTAGAACAGGGTATAATTTTCCAGGAAAGTGGCCAGTGTATAAATAATTTAGTCCTGAACAACGTTCTCTACTTGGGGATCTATAATAGAAATTGAAGCTTGGAAATAACTGCAAGATATAATAATTATTGGTTTAGTTAGCATATGTTGGATTACGATAGTGATAAAGTTTCTGCATGGAAAATAGCTAATCTGGGATTAAGGGTAGGGTTTCTTAGTGTTAGTAATCTAGAAAAGGGCTGCAAAATCGAGCTGATCATGGTCTAGTTTAGGGTAATAGTTTCAGTGTCCCATTGACACACCCCTATCCAAAGATTTACAGAGGACCACCCCTGGTCAACTTCTAACTGTCAGGAGGAATGATGTTCACAATATGCCCCTAAGGTCACTATGCTTTTCCTTTAGTCACGCCGAAAGTAAAACAAGCTATGTTCTGGCATCTAATTTGTGAGAGGAAAATGCATAGATCACATCTAAGAACTAGTAAAGGTTACAATGCTTACTAATTCTATAACTTGATTTTTCTTTTTACAGAACCTTGCTGCAAAGACTGAAGAATTAAGGAAGAATTATACTTATGACCCATCTCTCAAGGAAGTAAGTTTCTTTTAAGCAATTTATGAATATATCCCTTCCACAAGTGATGTGGTGACCTGATGGTTGGTGCTCAGTCCTGAATCACAATTGAGTGCCTTTGGTTCAAGGCTGCCAACATCTTGATTGACACCTGATCGACACCAAATCGAGCGGGAGTCGGTTGATAGTTGGCCAACCGTCAACTGATTCATCGATCAACACTCGTTGGCATGTCTGCAAAAAGTTGGTCATCTCTCGATTGACTGGAGATGTTGATGGAGTGTCAATTAAGTGTCAATGGAGGTGTTGATCGAGTGCCAATCGAGTATCAATCGGGTGTCAATTGAGGGTATCAATGGACACTCGACTATGGATGCCTTTACATGTACTAAGTATACACATGATCGACCAGGTATGAAGGAGAGTGCTCATATTACATATCCACTGTTATTTTGGCAGATAATTGGTATTTTTTTTGGGGGGCCGGAGGGTAAATTTTGGAACATTTGATTTGAATTTGATCAATACATTATTATGGTTGAATCAGTTAAGCTCTACATTTGACAACATTTTTTAGGTTGGTATTGCTTTTATTGTTTTAATTCATTTAACTAATCTACAATTTTATGTTTTTGACATTTGACTGGCAACAATTTCCAGCATTTTTTTTTTTTAAACCAAAACAATTGGAGCTCTTTTTCTGTAATTATATGGTATTAAATTTTGGAGAACAGCAAATGTTTTGGCGTATATTTCACAAATGTACACCTGCAGCTTACTACAGGTCCAAATGGGTACTGGCAAATGTTTGGGTGACCTGATACAAATAATTGACTGGGAGTTACGTAACATGTGGTGGACTAGCATTCCATCCAGTGGGACTGAGATACTCCTAGCATGATCCAGTTGAGCTGAAAGGGCTTTACTTGTTTTTCAGACTGACTATTTTAACAGCAAGGACTTGAAAGGATTGCCTCTTGCAATTGATGATAGATTCTCTACAGATGTTGAAATTAACATGTCTAGCAGCGTCATACACATACCAACTGATGTGTTTAGTGGAGGTGAGTTAGCGAGGCATGTCTTGATGCAGGTATCACAGGCTTAAGCTTCCCCCTTCAGGTTAAACCCTTGGGCTAAAAGAAGGAATTTTTTTTAAGAGCTGACACATTTTTGGTGATTAATTCCCCAGGAGTAAAGGAATTTTGCGAGACAAAGTCAACATTTTCCTTTGACTTACTCTGATGAATTGCTAATGAAGGGGTAATGTTCAAAATGTCAGCTTCACAAACTTGCTAATAGTCCAGTGCTCATATATACTTTTATGGAGTGCAAGTTGATTATCAACAATATTATCAACGTTAACACCCAGACCCTCTCTCTGATTTGTCTTTTCGTGGAGGGCAGCTGTAATACAGGCTAAATCAGTTGAAGGCTGTGGAGATTGTGGTCATAGTCTGTGTGTGTCCTCATTGTGCCTGATGCATGCTTGCATTCATATTTACAGGAGTTGGTATTGTGAATACCATAAAGTGGACAAGTGGGCTAGATAAGTATTTCAAGGAAAATGAAATGACGAATCATTCACTGTTGTGGCAGTATTTTGGAAGTGCTGATGGTGTTTACAGGGTGTATCCAGGTAAAACAACAGGTTACCCAGTACCCTGTTATTAACATCACAGGCTTACCTTGTCCTTTGTAAGAATGTTAGTGCTAATCTGGATTCGAGAATAGACAACTTTCAGAACTGCTTGAGCTAAATATACTGTATTGAGAACAATTGATTTGTTGAGACTAACCTGCCATGGGTGAGTCAGGGCAAGTGTTCTAAACAATATGATTTATCTCAATAAGCCACACATGCAGCTCTGTTATTTCAACAAATCACTTTTGACTGTTCACTTTATCACGAATCTCATTGTCGAACCTTGTTCTGTTTAATTGGTACTCAAGTCTGCTCAAACTGTCTTTCCAGCATGTCTTGTATCCCTGCATACAGCTGTAACTTAAGTCTGCATACGAGCCAAGTGGCTCATCAGACTGGAGCCTCCCTGTAACTTAACATTAGGTGAAAATGCTTAAACTTGTAAATAAATCTGACAAATAATTTTTTTCCCAGTTTACATAATTAACTGTAAATCCTTCTATTTCATTCAGGCTTCAAGTGGACAACTGAGTCAAAACAAGACATATTTGACCACAGAAGGCGTGGTTGGTAAGAAAATGTCTTTTTATATCAAATACCATTTTGCATGTGTTGCAACAGTACAACTGTTCAAAACAGGCCCTATTCCTTCAGGGTCTTTGCTACAAATGGGTACTCAAAATTAAGCATCCATTTCAAGACTGTTAAGTTTCCACTTGGGTGTTAGCTTTACACTGAATTTCATTTCTCTTGTCAGGTATATTCAAGGGTCAAGCTCACCTAAAGACATAGTTTTAATACTGGACTTGTAAGTATTAAATAATGAGCTAAATACAATGTATGCTTAATCCAGTGTGGGTCCCAATTGTAAATTTTCTTTAGATTAGTTATACTGCAATCATGGGCAAAAGTCTTGGGACGCATTTGCACTTTTGGCGCTTTTGCGCACATGCCAGATGCGAATAGGACTTCACCTTCCTAACCTCGCCCCCCCACCCCCGATACAATATTGAAAACTACTACCTGCAATTTCTTCTGATTTTCAACATTGTGTTGGGTGGGGAGGGGGAACAGTAACGCGTTTCTAAAAGGAAAGCAGTGCATTTTTTCAAACTTCAGTTCTAATACACAGATAATTCGTTAGCTAGAATTACCTAAGTGTCCCAATTACTTTTGTCCACGATTGTAGGTGGAAGAATTTTTTTGAATATTTATATAAATTTTCCATTAATGATCATTACATATCTTTATTTTAGTGTGATCTGATTAACTGCTAAAAAAAGGGTTAAATGGACTAGGAAAAGGTTTGATCAATGATGCATATGGCATAAGCATTTATTGGTGTATTTTACATGGCATATCAGGCAGTATTTTAGAATTCTGGTTAATGCCGAGGTTGCATTACCATATTTGCCTGCTTTTTAGGGATTTCTGGTGATTGCTTGGTCAGGAGTATTTTAATGTGGTTTATGTGTTCGTCTTCACATGTATGCTTGTGCCTTCCCACATGTTTTTAGTTGTACTCTGCTCAGAACTCTGTACTTGTTATTCAATTTATATTTATACTCTGCTCGTTGGTGGCTACTTTGACGTGCACTTTTATTAGTGTTTTGTTACCCTTCCTCCTCTCCCTTAAGCTTTCAATAAAAATATATATCCTTGTAAGTTCTTTTACTTTGTAGTTTTTCTGCTGAACTTCTAGTTTTAGTGTGACAAGAGCTAGGGCTGGAGTTGGGTTTGGCAGGCAGGGCTCATGGTTGGGGTGGGGGTAGAGCAGGCTTGTAGGGTGTTCTACCGACCTTGGTTTGGGTCGCCAGGACCATCCCAGACACCCGCCCTCCATTTGTGGCATAGATGTTAATAAAGATTTCCCAAGAGGCTTTAATATTATTTTAAGAATACATAACACTGCCTTCCCTCAAAAAGAGGAACAAAATTAATATATTAATAACATAATAACAATGAGATAATTAAGGTAAAACCTATCAAAGCACTGTAACTTTTCTAAACCTTCACAGAAATATTAAATGTACCTACAAGTAATTTATGATAATTACAAGACAGTACTATAATACCTAGTGTACATCACTAACTCTACTTGACGCTGAAAGTAAAAATTAGTACAGTCATACATGTATGATTTGTTAAAAAAAAAAACATTAGCTTATCTAAGATGGTATTAGTGGCATGACAGCTGTTATCACGTGTACTTTCATTACATTAGGAGTGGCAGTATGGCTGGTCAAAAATTGTCCATTCTTAAACTCGCTGCATTGTCCTTGCTTGACACTCTGCAAGAAAATGACTATGTTAATATTGTTGCAGTGGTGAGTAATATTGGTCAGATGAAGTTAATACTCTAAATTAAAAACCGTCATGACAAACTAATTTTAAATTAGCTTTGCTTGGATTAAGCGCATGTGATTTTGCTTTGAGCAAGTTAAATGTAAGAATTAAAAGAGAGAAGTAAACTGTTTTACTTGGCATTCCCGTAAATGGTTTGAATTCAGGAATATCAGAATGAGTAGTTCATACAATGTGATCGTCTGGATGAGGGTACATTACATTGTTGTCACCAACAACAGTTCTTTCCAGAAATAGCTGCACCTGGATGATCACAATATACAAACTAATTGGCATTTTGCTGAAAGTATAACTGAAATTGTTGCCAGCATCCTAAACTATAAACAGTTAGATTAGATGTTCCATGTAGAAGTCCCAAATTTAAAAGGTGTATCTAATGTATATTAGCAACTGTACATTATTAGAAATTTACAGCTAATACTTGAGAAGAGTGGATACTTGTGCTATTCAAGTCAAATAGTACAAAAATAAGACTGGTATTAATGTTGTGATGTTACCCAAATGTGTTTGAATAACTTCTGACTAATAAATAAATACTAACATTGACTGAAAATGTGAGTAAATTAAATCTTGTGACTTAATGTAACCAACCAGTGAGTTAGTCATAAATTTGCATTAAACTAATAAGGGCAATACTTAACAATTAGACCCGTAGCCCTTGCGGGCTATGGGTCAATAGGCCATGAGGTGAAGCCGAATGGGCTATTGACCCGTGGCCCTTGAGGGCGAAGGGTCTAATTTTTTTAGTATCACCCAACTNGTTTTTTATCTCATTAAGTGTCAGGTCAGATTCAAGAGACACTGATTCCTCAAAAGACAATTTGGGAATGTCTAGGTCCTCAACAAAGGCAAAAAAGTTCTCTCTGAAATTCGTGGAAGGAAGGCCAGATGATTTTGTTTCTAGTAAATCGCTATAAAATAATTCTATTTCTTGGTTGATTTGTTTCATGTCCAAAATAATCTCACCATTTTCAAGTTTTAACTGTGCAATAACCCTTTTCTCAAAGTTTCGCTTTTCTAAATTGAAAAATAATTGGTAGGTTTCTCACCTTTTTCAATTCAGCGGGCTTTTGAACGGAACATGGCTTCTTTGCCTTTTTTCTCGTAAATATCTTTGAGTTCTGTCTTGATGGATTTGTATTCATCTAACAGTGGTTGGTTGAAGTGGTTGTTTCTGTGACATATTTCATTATCAAGGGCATCGAGTTTTTCCTGAAGATAAGTTTCCCTGTTTTTAAATTCCTTGCATTTTGCTTTCATCTTGTTTCATTTTGCTTCCATCACCTGGATTATATTGATGCCCTGGTTCTACTATTGAGCACTCTATCAGCAGACGTGCAAATCAAATGGTATATGACAGTTTTAATATTAGTTAATCAAATGCCAAAACCCTGTGTGGGAGGGGGTATGGATATGTTCTGGAAGAACATATTTCACTGTAATTTGCATTTCAGACTAGTATGGTCTTTGAATATTAAATATGAAACAAATTGGGAAAATTGAAAAGCACACTGGTTTGAAAACTTGAAAATGATATTGAAGTTTAATACCACAATGTATACTCATTGACTTAATTAATGTATGTATCTCTGTTATTTTTTCAGTTTCTACAGTATTTCATACCTAAAAATGCTTTTGCCAAAGGGATTGCTAGGGCCAGTAAAGGATTTGAATTCGCTATTGAAGTGCTGCAGGTATTTGAACTGAAAATAAGCAAAAACTGAAAACAAAGTTTTAATCGGTTTAATTTATGAAGGTTTTTGTTATCCAAGTAACTATGCAATTTAACTCACCTATGTTTCATTGCTTGTGGAGACACCATGGCTTCATGGTTAGTGCTCTCCACTTTGGATTGAGTGGTCTGGGTTCGAACCTTGGCTAGGGCCATTGTGTTGTGTTCATGGGCAAGACACTTCACTCTCACAGTGCCTCTCTCTAGACACTCTGGTTTATAAATGGTTACCAGCAAAATTGATGCTGGGTGTAACCCTGCGATGGACCAGCATCCTATCCAGAGGGGAATAGAATAATCTTGGTCTCTTCATGCTACTGAAACCAGACATGGGCCACTTGACCCCTATATAGACTTTACCTTCTGTTTAATTACTTAGTTATTATTCAAGGACATTTTGTGGGTGTAGACAAGGTTATTTCTGGATGTTAAGTATTCATTTGGACTCTAGCACTGCAACGATACAATTTCTCACGATATGATGCATATCTTGATACAAGTGCCACAATACGATACACAATACGATACATCATTACATGCAACTGACAGGCGAAGAAGAGCTGTGAAGAACGGATGAACCATATGTTTTGTCTGTGGGCGCACAAGACTGTGTCAGCTGACAACTGATTGGAACTGCGCATGCTTTTGTGCTGCCATCTTGAAAGATACATGACTGGAAGCATGCAGAGCAATACAAAGCAAAGATGGAACTTTTTTTTCACAGGTCCCTTTGTTTAATAAATAGCTCTGAAAGGGCTTGGACTTGGGTAAGGAGTCATAAAACAGAATGATGAATTTTTTATTCATGAGGAATCACAATATCATAATAATTATTGCCATATCTTGTCGCAATATCGATATTCGTACCAGGACAAAAAATATCGCGATTCACTGGTGCATCGGTGTATCGTTGCAACACTAGAGTCGAGGGGATGTACTTTACACCTGCAATGAGCTCTTGGCTAAGCTAGGTGCAGTTTGATTCCTGCTCATTTGAGCAAGCCAGTGCAAGGCTAGTGGTTAGTGTCATGGCAGATGGATTGTTTTCTAGAAGGCTGAACATACCTATGGTTAATTTGCACTACACCTTAACTTGCCTCATATTTTTACATTTTACAAATAGTTCCTAGGCAATCTCTGCTCATATTTTCCTTTGATTTTTAATCCTTGCTTTTGTCATCTATAGTTTTGTTCACCTTCACATTTATCCTGAATATCATTACTTATCATTGTCTTCAGGGGTTTCATTAAGAGCTGGTCACTGGGCATTACTTGACTGGCTAGCTGTGAGGATAATTTTGATTATTTGATGTTTGGGCCCTGTGTGCCATGTGGCACGAAGAGAACAGTTAGTTAGAGGATGATTTTGCCCACCTGGTTTGAATATCTCAAGGGAAGTTTTTCCTATAAAGAAGTGCAAATCAAAAAGTTTTACCTGCCTGTGAAAACCAGTTGTCCTCCTGCTGAAAACATTAATAAAACCTGTTATTTGTCTTTATTGTCACTATATCCTGTCCTGAGCTGTAATCACTATCAATGAAGCAAGAACACTTATTTAAAAACTATACTTGTTCCTTAGGAATCCAGAAAAAGACCTGATCCCTCATCTTCAAATTGCACACAGGCAGTCATTCTTTTTACAGATGGAATAGAGGAAAGTGAAAGCAAAAAAAGCAAAGAAATTTTAAAGGAAAAAAATCCGGATAAAAAGGTTTGCAATTGTCATAAAAATTTTTTAGTACAGTCAATGTTAATTTAGGAAGCCAGTCAGCATGTTGCTAAAGTTTTGTATAAATTATGTTGATTTTGTTACCCACTGCTTCTCATCAACACAATTATCGTGAAAGATTATGTTACTAACAGCGAATGAATTGCTGGTTAGGATCATTTGTACTAAAGGCATCTGTGGTCCAGTGTCAATCGATACCCTCGATGTCCCTCGATTAACACTCAATCAACATCTTGATCGACACTAGATTGACATCCGAAACGATACTAATAATGACACTCAAGGACACTCAATTGACAGTCGGTCAATAGTCAGCTGAGTGTCAACTGACTGATAATTAGTCTACCCTTGACCGACTGATGACTGAGATGTTGATCTTGAGTGTCAATCAAGTGCCAGTTGAAGCTTCAATGGAGTATCAGTGGAGTGTCCATTGGTGGTCGATTGAGGGTATTGATTGACACTCGACTGTGGATGCCTTTAGTACACATCATCTCACTATTGATTTTGCCCTGTTAGCCAAAGTTTCCTCTGATTACATGATCTACATGTAGCTGTCAGTTCAGTTTGTGTGAACAATCTAGGCACTGGCAGTATGGACAATTGACAATTTATTGAAGGTTAAAAATATTTAATAGTTATTCTTGTAATAGAAATGAGTCTAATTAACCAGTTAAAACCATTTCAATATTTTGAATCAATAACCCTTCTTAATGATTGTGTGGTTCCTGGAAATATCGATACACTGGAAATTCCAAGTGGTTCTAAAGCGATCTCAAAAGCTAAACATTTTAAAAGAAAGTATAAAGCTAAACTGGAATTCCTAGAGGTCTGGGGCTGGGGAACTCAGACCAATCTGTACAGAGGGCATGGAGTTTTTGTGGAACAACACATTGATTGTACATGTACCTTGTTTACAGATTCGTGTTTTTACTTATCTTGTGGGAAGTGAAAAAGGTGCCACAGATGGGCCATTAAAGGAAATCTGCAATGAGTACAGAGGTACCTAAAAGTGCCATTTTTTTTTTTTAAATTGTGAACTCAAAAAAAGATGAATGTATATGTGTGCTTGGCACAATTTCTGAACAGTAATGCTAGTTAAACTCAGTTTCTGAACACCCATACTCCTACTCACGAACTGCTACATTTTTCATTATTCTAAAAATATGCCAGCTGGTAAATTGCACTTACAGACCTGTCAGAGAAAACATCAGTTTGGGAGTATGATTTTTTCAAGAACTGGGAATTTTCAAAGATTCTAAGACTGCTGTAGGCTTATGTAAGACATTATTATGGCCATCTGAAGATGGCAATAAAAACAACCTCATTAGGTTGTCAGAAGTGATTCTGTTGTGGTCAGGAAATTATTGATCGGTGACAATCCTGTACAGGTGAAATACATATAATATTTACATGTTTATGATTTTCTTTCAAGGTTGCTTATTTAAGATTCAAACTCTCTCAGATGTCAGGGAGAAGGTTCTGGTAAGTTGAAATATGTTCAGTGATTTACAATAATGCACATATCAATAAACATACTTGTCCCTTTGTGCACTTGTTTAGCTGAGAAGAGTAATAGATGCTCTTGCTATCCATGTTTTGGTTTATAAGTTATCCTTGGATTTTAAGTAATGATCCAGATAAGAACTGTAGCATTTTCTATTGTTCTGCGGCAATATGCTTTCTCCACATTGAAACAGTTGTGTTTTGATACAGAGAATGTATCAACCAATGGAAAGCAGGTTTGTGAAATAAAATGTATTTAAACTCTATTTTGAAAGGTGGTTTCCTTTGTGTTAAAACATTCAACCAGTCACAACAGTTGTAAACAAAGACATTAAAAGCTTCCAATTTTCCATTGTTCCCCACATAGGATTACTGTGGTATTTAGACTCAAACGAGGTTTTGTTGAAAGGAAGATAGTTGATCAATTACGGATAAATATATATACAGCTAGCTACCTGACATTTTGGTAGAGTTTGTTGATTGTGCCAATCAGAAGTATGATACAACAATAGCAAAGTTGCGCAAAAGTTAGCACCATTTTGCTTTCCTTGCCACATGGTGCTATCCTTCTTATATGGACCGTTACTTAACCATTTAAAGAAAATTTTCAATTTTGTCTTAATACAAGTCACGCACTATTTGATCGGTCACTGCCGCAGGAAATTGGGTCTAATAAACTAGTTAAATGCTCTATATTGAAAGCAAACATCATGACCAATCTAGTTGTACACCTTTTCGTGAAAATCATGCCTGATTATTATTTTAAAGTGTTTTATCTGTACTCCAAGAGGTAACCATACCTGTAAAATATTATAAGCAAATAAGATGAGTGGTATTAAAACTTGTAGTAAACATAGTGAAGCAGGCAGAATGGTTGTTGTATTAATCTCTGGATCCAGTTACAGACCAAATTTCTAGGGCTTCTGTTTTTGTGCCAGATGTTATATAGAAAAGTTCTGTCAGGTAACTGTTGAGCAACATAATGAAGTTCTGGGGAAAGGAAAGTGGAAGGATAACTTGTCCTTCTCTAACAAAAAAAAAANGAATCAACTTCATGGCTACATATTCGCCGACTGGTCAGCCTTCTAAAAGATGATTCGGCTAGTCGTAATCGTAGCTTAAGATTCACGCACGCACCAAACATCTGTCGACCTGTGGAATGGCGATGTGGTCGTTCTAAGACTCTGGGCCTTTTCTTGATAACCAGTATTTCAAAAATAGCTGCTCGTGAATATTTTTAAATAGGCTGTCAACCAACTTCTAGCTTTAAACCAACACAAATGTTGTATAAACAAAGTTAATTTTTGTGTACTTTTTTGCACAAGTATACTACCAGCAGTTTTAAATCCTGAACATTTTTTAACTTTTAAACATGCTCAGTGCAAGAGTCATAAGGAATGGGAATGACGTGGCATTAATTAGTTCTGTCTGGAATCTTCACAGCATAGGCTAAGCTTTCCTGATTAATTCCATTACTTCTACAATCCTGTGGTTAATACATCTTTCAGGTAAGCTGTGTTCTCCTTTCTTCCTTAATTAATAAAGTACTTGTAAAGTTATCTCTAGAATCACCGTAAGGTTATAAGATGAGCATATCGAAAAGCCGAGAGCTTGGATTTTGACACTGGGTTACACTAGGCTCGGCACTTTTACTTCTGATTTTTTTGTTTTGCTGGGTTTGTCAGTGACTGGTGCATGAAGGAGAAATAATAAGATCGCATTCATTAGCCCTGTCAAAACGAGAAATATTTGGCGATCAAACCGGCAGAATCAAACATTGTTTGGTGACCAAACATTTTCCCGTTTGGAGGCACCTTGTTTGATTGTGTTTGATAAAATTTGAACGACGTCAAACATTTGATAAAACATTGCAAAACGTTTNTTCTTGATAACCAGTATTTCAAAAATAGCTGCTCGTGAATATTTTTAAATAGGCTGTCAACCAACTTCTAGCTTTAAACCAACACAAATGTTGTATAAACAAAGTTAATTTTTGTGTACTTTTTTGCACAAGTATACTACCAGCAGTTTTAAATCCTGAACATTTTTTAACTTTTAAACATGCTCAGTGCAAGAGTCATAAGGAATGGGAATGACGTGGCATTAATTAGTTCTGTCTGGAATCTTCACAGCATAGGCTAAGCTTTCCTGATAAATTCCATTACTTCTACAATCCTGTGGTCAATACATCTTTCAGGTAAGCTGTGTTTTCCTTTCTTCCTTAATTAATAAAGTACTTGTAAAGTTATCTCTAGAATCAGCGTAAGGTTATAGATGAGCATATTCAAAAGCCGAGAGCTTGGATTTTGACACTGGGTTACACTAGGCTCGGCATCTTTATTTCTGATTTTTTTATTTTGCTTGGTTTGTCAGTGACTGGTGCATGAAGGAGAAATAATACGATCGCATTCATTAGGCTATGGCCCTGTCAAAACGAGAAATATTTGGCGATCAAACCGGCAGAATCAAACATTGTTTCGTGACCAAACATTTTCCCGTTTGGACACCTTGTTTGATTGTGTTTGATAAAATTTGAACGACGTCAAACATTTGATAAAACATTGCAAAACGTTTCGTTCGTTCAAACATGTTTGATACCGTTTGGCCACTCAGTTCAGCATCAACATGTTTGGTCACCAAACAATGTTTGATTATGTTTGGTCACCCAATATTTCCTGTTTGGACAAGGCTTAGGAACGCTTTTTCATGCACCTTCACACCAAATGCTTGATGTGAAGGGGGAAGAGCTAATGGTAAAACAAGTTGCATTCAGCGAGAAAGTAAGCAGATATGGCAAACGTATGTAAACGGAGAATTCTATTCTGTTTTTATCGAGGAAAACTAATGGCTTTTGAATGCTTGTTGTTGCAGTGCTGCTGTTGCCATTCCAGAGCTCGGTCTGTATGCACTTAATGCCTCGGACTTTTCAGCCTTGGATGGTATGTTTATTTTTGTTTTATTGTTGTTCATGTTTGGTTCTATTTTTGTCACCAAGAGGTGGGCTGATATTTATCTAGCCTACAGTGCAGGCGTTTTCCGTGTTTTCGCGAGTTATCGGTTTTAGCTCGCGATCGAGTAGATTGCCCCGAGTAAATTCGCCGCCATTTTGGCTTGGGAATAGTAGGAGGGTGTGGAGACGGAAGAAGGAAAAAAAAAAAAAACCAACAACAACAAAATGTTGTAGTATTTTTCTTTCCCCTCCCCTTTACTCTTCTTTCAGCCACAGCCCTACTCTCTCTGACGCCTTTTCGTCTCTCCCCAACCTCCTTCCGAGGTTAAATCCAAGATGGCGCTCGCTTGATAAAACTGCGCTTGCTCGCGAAAATACGCTTGCATTACTGGCTAATGTTTATCTGTTTATTTGCCTTTTTAGATGAGTTGTTAAAGAGCACAAATAACGACGAGGACGTGATAGTTGCTCCTTGGTGAGAATTTTGTGCAAGATGTCATAACAGTAACACTCTTCAGGGGTCATATCCTTAGTTTGGAAGTAGGTTAGAAAGGAAGCGAAGCGTGCATATAAGATAACCTTCTACGTTGAGGTTAGACTTCTGCACCCCATCATCCTATTTCCTAATCGTATCAAGAAATACGGATCAAATTTGAAAATAATAACTATTGTTGGCCTTGCCTTGCAACTGAGGCAATTTGTGCCAATCCCTGGATTGTCGAAAACAATGACTTGCAATGCACGAGGGAGATTCGAATTTTCCGATTACAGCACTCGCGAAAAATTTTAATGTTCGCTGAAAGCGAAGGAGACTGATCACTTGTCGACTATGTAAAGTAGACAAGTGATGAGATTAAAGAAAGTGATCAACTTGGGAAGATTGCTTTGAGCGGTTTTCAATTGACTGTTGTAACACCAAAGCCAACGAACACTAATAATCCACTGAACCAATCGAAACTCCCAAGCAAATACATGAAGCTGGCTCGAAGCGCGGGAAAACGGATGGGAGCAAGTCACAAGTGGTCTTGGTCTTACTTCTGATTGGTCGAAAAGTTGGTGCAAGGGTTTTTTTAAGCCGGTCAGTTAGCGTACAAACGCAAAACAAACTTGAACGCGTCTTACTTTCAACTTTCAAATGAAAACTTTTGTAGATGAACCGTCGCATTTGTTTGTTGGTTAGTTTAAGTTGTACTTTTTCTGTCCTATCAGGGAAATCTGTCCAGACACGCCAGTCGCAGCTGAAAGCACAACTCCGGTATACCAGCCAGCTTATGCCAATGCTACAGACATCATCAAAGACAAGAATCGTGAAAATCACTGTAGGTTTTACCAGTTGTTTCATGTGCTGCCATTATTTCGGTCATCTCAGTTAACAAGGACCCGAACCGAAGTGCACACGTAAAGTTATTTAACATGAAGGCATTCCACAATTTGTGCTTTTTATATTTTAAATCAAGAGAAAGAAATAATTTTTGTTAATCATGCGGACATCGGGAGTCCACTAGGAGTCGATCGAACCTGGGAAATTCGACCACTACACCAACCGAGTGCTGAGTGCAAAGAACCCAAATTTTTATCCATTGTCGCCCAGACCACAAAATGATAGCTTTTCCGCGAGCAAACCCGAGTGGAACTAACCGCAAGTAAGCCGACCTGGTTTTGGTGAAATGTCTAATAAGTAAGTAAGTAAGTAAGTAAGTAAGTAAGTAACTTTATTTAATGAGGGTAAAAACACTTTACAGTCATTGACTGATAAACTCGTGGCCCTCCCTTAAACAATTAAACAATTAAACAATCGAACCCTTAAACAATCTGGCTCAGGTCCTTGTTACATAGCGTTTGCCGCCTAATATGACTTAGAAGTTAAGGGGACTATACAAAAGAAATCACACTCTGATTGAGGGATGAATAACCATTTACTTCTTTGTAGTCCCTTCAGCTTCGGCGCCATAATAGAAACTGGCCCATTGCCTGATGGTGTCACCCCATGCTTCTGAAATGCGTGAGATGACGTGACGTGTTCCGTGAC